TGTGTGTGGGGGATGGACGCGTGTGTGGGGATGGACGCGTGTGTATGCTCGTTTTCACTCTATACCAAAAGAACTTTGTTAGGGAGATGATTTGCATATAGCAGTGTTTTATTTTGTAGCCACAAAAAGCATATTTGATGCAACTCTCTGTGCACATCACAACAACTAGTACTTATTAATGCTGACAAGACGACTTACCACTTATTTGGTGTGAGCATTGCTTGAAAGAATACCCAGAAATTGCTCCTGTCCTATTCACCCGTGGCAGTTTTTCTGTAACACTATCTTTCAGGATACAAGTAAACCTGTTTTTTTTTTTTAAGAAAATAACATTATTGGGTAGAAATCTATGTTTTAAAATAGTGAGTCTTAAAAACCAGTGCAGAAAGAGAAAAATAAAGAGACAAACCATCTCCTGCCAAAACAATTGTTTTCTTCCCAAGATTGTGAGTTTGTTTTTCTTTTCAACATCCCTACAGTTTCAAAAGACCACGATACTCCTTCCCAACAGGAAATAAACACAAGTGGGCAAACTGTGACCTATTGTTAAAAAACAGTAAAAAATATGCCTGTTATTGTACAGCCCAGTGATTTCCAACTGGTGTGCTGCGAGAGGACCTTAGGAGTGCCACAAAAAGTTTTAAAGATCATTAAACTATTTTTGAAAGATGTTCAAAGCACAGTAAGTATATTCTTTTTTTTTATTCTCTTTTTTTGATTAATGTAATTTAAGTGTGCTAAGGAAATTTAACTATAGGTTCAAGTGTGCCATGAGATAAAAAAGGTGGAAAAACCCTGATATAGCCCATGAGCTAGGAATGATGTTTTTATTTTAAAATGGTTACATTTTAAATGATGATATAAGCACTTATGTAATATCCTTAATTTTGCCTGGGGACATATGAAACTATAGTTCATTTAAATTAGGAATTCCTGTTAATTTTCTGCTCTCTTGTGTGTAGGACAATGCATGTCAAAGTATTGAGGGGGGTGAAGTGTCAGAACATTTTAAAATTACTTCAAATGTCTAAACATATTGACATATATAGGTAGGAAAAGTAAAAATCACAGGGTCTTGGTGGTAGCAGGTCATGGTTGAACTATTTTTTTTTTTTATTATCTTTATGAATGTTTCATTTTTTCCTAATAAAATAGTTGAGGGATTTTCCCATTTAAATCATATCAAACATCAATGATAACTGATAAAAAACTAAAAAGCAAAATGGTTAAGATGCATAAAAGTACAGAAAAAGAGAGAAAATGTACCATTAATATTGAAACTACAAGAGAGGATAGAAAATCCGCCCCAAGAGGCGTATTTATTCCCTCTTAGTCTGCCTAAAAATTGTACTATTGTTTCCTGTAGTATTTAATTTTTCATTTGGAGGATAATTTATTTTCTAATTTATTTCTAATTTATTTTCTAATTGTCACTTTTCTAATTGTCAACTTTGCAAAATGGGAGACGGGAATGCATTAATAGTTATCCTCCAATAAAATCTGTTTTGTCTGTAGACATGTATACATTTACCACTCAGCAGGATCTTCAGATGACGACTCAGCCATAAACGTGAAAAGCAGGCATCTTGGGTGGTGGGTGCAGACGACTTGGCAGTACTTGGCACTTGGGGTAGAAACTGTAGTGATGTCTCCTCCTTCAAAGTAGGTGTCTCTCAGCAGTTCAGTCAGACATTCTATGATACGAGACATGGCATAGGTTATGTTGGTTTTAGTGGGCACAAATCTAATTAGGTGATCATCTCATAAAAGCGAAGCAAGTAGGTCTACTTAATAGGATATATGCCTGACTTTGCAAATCTAGGCAGTCATTGCTTTTATCTTAGTTTATTGGATGAACAATCTTAAATGGAAAAGACAATCATAAAACAGTCCATTGGCTTCAGGGGAATTGTGCTGACAAGTGATTTTCGTGGAGACAAGGAGTGTTTTGTGGGTAACTGAATCATTATTTAGCTCTTTATTAGCAAGATCTGCTCTTTGGGATCCCATACAGGTGTCTAAAATGGGCCTTCTGGCCCTCTCCTTCCTAACTGCTTCTCTGTGTCCAGACTCAGGGCTCATATGAAACGAAGGCTCCAGAGTGATCATTTGGGGTGTGATGACATCCTCCCCCAAGCTTGCTGTTGCTTCCAAACAACCTGTATAGCTACCTCCCACTCATGAAGAGCCTAATGTCACTTCAAAACTTTCCCATCCACCACGGAAACCCTCCCTTTGGGGCAAAGCAGTTGTACTATATTAAAATATTACTCAGTCTGGGCATGGTGGCTGACACCTGTAATCCCAGTGTTCTGGGAGGCCAAGGCAGGTAGATTGCTTGAGCTCAAGAGTTCAAGACCAGCCTGAGTAAGAGCAAGACCTTGTCTCTACTAAAAAAATATAAAAACTAGTCAGACAGAGTGGTACACACCCGTAGTCCCAGCTACTCAGGAGGCTGAGGCAGGAGGATCACTTGAGCCCAAGAGTTTGAGGTTGCTGTGAGCTATGATGCCATAGCACTCTACCCAGGGCAACATAGTGAGACTCTGTCTCAAAAAAGAAAAAAAAATTACTTTTAAGAATGTTATTTGGCAAATCAAACAGATTTTCTATATTTAATATGTGTGCTATTTTCTTAGAACATACTACATATCCCTAAAAATTGTATTGTTTAATTTTACATGGCACATTCATATTTAAAATGTAAATATAGCTTCTAGTGCCAGTAAAGACTGGTTAATCTGCTTGTCTTTGTGAAGTAGTGAAGTGCTTTTTGTATGTTGACATTGTATCCAGATGTCTTGCTAATTTTATGTATTGGCTGAAGTAATTTTTGTACTGGTTATTTTGAATTGTTCTAAGTACACAATCATATCACCTGTGAACAAAGCGAATTTCTTTCCTTCTAATCTTTTACCTTTTCTTTCTGTTTCTTTTCCTCACTATGTTGCCTGTGACCTCTGGTACAATATTTAATGGAAATAATTGTGGGTATTCTTGGTATTAAAGTTTTCAATAGTTTACTAGTATGTATCAGGTTTTTTAAAAGAATTTTAGATTGGATCATTTGTTTGTTTGTTTGTTTAAAATATGCTTTAAGAGATGAAGAAAATTCCCCTCTACTTCCAATTTACTAAGAATTTGTATCATCAATAGAACTTTATAAATTGTTATTCTGTGTATATCGATTTTCTAAAATGATTTTTACTTTTTATTGTGATAATATATAGCATACCATGCATCATTCCAACTATTTTTAATTTACCTTCTGTGCAACCATCAACACCATCCATCTCCAGATCGATGAACTGTACAGTTTAATACATTGAGTGGAATTTGTTTTGTTTTTAAATCTCTACTGAGATTTATCATTTCTCACATATGCCAGAAAAAAAGAATTTGCTGTGATTAAAATGCCATCAATAGTAGTAGAAATTAAATGTAATATATATGTTATTTTTGTTTCAAAAAAGGCTTAAGTTTTTATTTTAAATAAAGAATAACCTAATAGCTAAATAATACTTGCACTGCCTAGCCTACTGAATACTGGTTAAGTATTTAGAAACAACTTTAGTAGTGGAGAATTAACAACAGCACTTAAATTATTGGATTGCATAAAGTAAGTATGAATATTTACACAAAAATTGCCAGTGTGTGTATATGTGTTGCATTGAATTGACTCCTTTATGGAAAAACTGACAATTAATGAGGCAAACTGAGCTATCTGATTTTTAATATTGCTGCTTCATATCATTTCAATGAGTTATACAGACAGAAGATGCAGATACGGACATAGACACAGATTCCTGCCATTAGAGCAATTCCTTCGCCTCAGTTTCCTTCCCTGCTTTGAAAACCACCGGGGCCTTGAGCAGAACATAAATAAAACCATTTTACTCTTCTCCCTAGAGTGGATGGCATGGGATTCCCCTTGATGTGTGGTGTGGGTTTCCTCTCTGAGCCTATGGCCCCTTATTTTCCAATGTACGGGTCAGGAAACCAAGCTCTTCCCTGTCCACACTTAAGATGAAGCTCAACTTACCACCAGAAACCGAGGCAAATAAAAGGAAAGGTACCATTTGATATAATAAAATCATCCTGCAAAGAAAAAAAAAAATGTGCATGTTTATAGAAAATAAAATGTTTACTCACATCGAGATTTGCAAGAAGCAGGGAGGGAATTAATAATGTTCCCAGAGCTCCCAAAATAACTTTGAATTTTCTCTTTCCCAAATCCTGGGATATTCCTTGGTGCAGCTGTGTGTACAGTGTTCAGCACTTCCATGGTTTCACGGAAGGAGCTCTCTCCCTTCCCTCCTCCTCCCCTCCCACTGCACATCATGTTTGTTTTTTTTTTTTTAAGACAGAGTCTCATAGTATCACACTGGGTAGAGTGCATGGGCATCATCATAGCTCACAGCAACCTCAAACTCTCAGGCTTGAGCAATCCTCTTGCCTCAGCCTCCTAAGTAGCTGGGACTATAGGCACCTACCACTACACCTGGCTATTTTTTCTATTTTTAGTAGAGATGGGGGTCTCACTCTTGCTCAGGCTGGTCTTGAACTCCCGAACTAAAGCAATCCACTCTCCTTGGCCTTCCAGAGTGCTGGAAGGACAGGCGTGAGCCACTGCACCCAGCCCCCCCGATGGTGATAGGCTCCTTCTCTGCCCCACCATCTGGCCACTCTGCCCGCCCGGTTTTCCATCTGTGTTTCCTTTGCCAAGTTATTACTTTTCTTTCTGTTGTTGAGGTCTTTCTTGCTATATCCACATCTATCAAGGAGCTTGGAATGATTTTCTACTTAAGAGATTTTCTGTTTTTAAAAATCTTCTGCCATCTATCAATGGATTGTCTCAATCACTTCCAAGTACACTTAGTCCCTGTGATCAGACTGTGAAACGCCAACCTGTCCTCGAGACAATCAAGACCTCTGATTTTGAACATCTTCTTAATTTAAAAATAATTCTTCTTTCATTCTGCATCTCCTCTCAAACTGGTTATGGACATTAAATATCACTAAACTTTTAAAGCAGACCATTTAGTAATCAATCATTTTCTATAGTAAAATCTTTTTAAATAGCCATGGTAGAAAACAGCATTTCAAGGTATAGTTACTTCCTAGAAATGCTAAGTATTTTTTGAAGCCATACCTGGACACACCTTGTTTATTTGCTGCAGTTCTTAATAAGGATGTTTCTCGTCTTCTAAAATGATCTTCATCTTCCTCTGAGCAGGCTTGTGTAGGTAATGCTCACTTAACTTTAATATTGACTTTCCCTGTTTCCAGCGTTGTGTAACGTTGTGTCTTTGTAAAACATTATCTGTGAAAGACCTTAAAATCTCTGCCTATCAGAAATGCATCTGAAAGTTGCTTGCTTTTTCAACACATTGGCCTTATTTTTTTCTTTTTATTACATATTCAAACAAGCGGCGCACACAGGGATAGCTGGAGAACTTGAATTTGCCCGTGTGCTTTAGCAGTCAGGCAATATACCTGCTGGCCAAAAGCCATGCTTAACCACACTCTGGAACATGGTTTGGTTAACGCAGCTGTTAACCATTAATTTCAGACTAACTTGAACCCCAGAGTCTCTAAAAGGAAAACACAGGAAGTGCGATGGACTCGAGTTGAAGCATAATAAAATCATCCTGCAAAGAAAAAAAAGTGCATGCTTATAGAATATAAAATATAAATTTATATACTTAGAAGCCTTTAGTTCTGGGGTTGCGGGATAGGAAGAAGCAGAGTGTGGACCCGGGCTCTGTGGGGTCGGTTTTCCTTTATATAATGTCACCTCCTCATGGCCCTCTGCTGGTGTGAGTGATTCTAAGGAACCAAGTTTTTTTATTCTGTTTGTGAACGCTGAAAGTCTAAATGTATTTGTGAAACAGAAAAATACAGAATTTTTATTTTTTAATTTTATTTTGAACTTGGAACACGAAGGCATAAATGGAGAGCTATGAAGTAACATGACAGGCAATAAAAAAATGCTGATTCCCAAAACGATAATTATCTTTGTCTTGGAGGAGCCTTCTAGTGGTAGGACTTGTAGTTTAGAGATGAAGGATTTGGAGGGGGGGTTTTCACGTACTTATATTTCTGCTAAGAACCTTCCCATTGACCTTGAAGAGGATTTAACAGGCTATAAAAGGCATGATAATCCAGGTTCTCTGCTACCCAGACCTCAATTAGTTTAATAGTTGTGTAACTTGAGCAGAAACTAATCTGCACCCTGTAGCCAGTAGCCTGCAGGTCCTGGGCCAAGTTACTGCTTCTTTCTGGGCCTCAGATTCCTCATTTGTGACATCAGGCACTAATCAGCTCCAAGGATGTCTCTGCAGTCCTCTGAAAACTGACAAGAAAAGGACTTTGAATATGTCTGATTGAATTGCCTTTCAGAGAAAGACAATTTTTTTTTTTTTTTTTTTTGCAGTTTTTAGCTGGGGCTGGGTTTGAACCTGCCACCTCCAGCATACGGAGCTGGCGCCTACTCTTTGAGCCACAGGCACCACCCCTGAGAAAGACAATTTTTGATGATTCAGAGAAGGTTCCCAGTTTCCCCAGAAAAACCAGATGAGACCTTGTGTCTACAGATGGAATCATGAGTTTAAAACATATTTGAAAGACCAGGGTAGAAATAAAATGCCCAGTATGTCCCTGTTAGAGATAGTGTGTACAAAGGAAGCACCGTACTTTGTTCAGGGATGTGTGCTCTTGTGAGTGTGATCTTTGGAACCTAGCAAATGTCACAGTTTTACTCCGAGCATTTTCAGTATTTGGGGACATTGAGAGGCCGTCCCCTTTCCTACCTCAGTAATGTTGCTTTGGACTTTACCTGAATACTTTCTGAAGCTGTAGGACATTCAGTCCCTGGTGGCCAAATCCCTAAGTGAAAAGATGACCCAAGATGAGGAACACTGGACAGTCCTTTCCAAAATTCCTACAGAAAGGGAAATATTAGGATGAAAGAGAGAACTTACTGAAGAAGGGAATGAGGGACTCGTTAGTAAAGTCCAGACTCTGGACTGGACTCTGCCCCGACTGGAGGTGAATTTGTGTGAAGAGAAAAGTCAGCATTTTGAGCAGAGCTGTAAGGGGATTTGCACTGAGGTCTTTAGGTAAATTGCCAAAGAATTACGGTGATGTTCTCTGTGGAAGGTAGACATTCACATAATTTTACTGGTTTATTGTGACCTACCTCGGTGTACAGAGTCCTTAGTGCTGTCTTGAGTTTCGCATTTGGAGTTAACTACATTCCAGTTGCACAAAAGCATATATTTTGCAATATATGTATTGCATTGCCTTTTTTTTAAATTAAATCATAGTTGTGTACATTAAAATGCAGTCATGGGGTATAGTGTGCTGGTTTTATATATAATTTGAAATATTTTCATCAAACTAGTTAACATAGCCTTCATGGCATCCTCTTAGTTATTGTGTTAAGACATTTATATTCTACATTTAGAAAGATTCACATGTACCCTTGTAAGATGAACCATAGGTGTGGTCCCACCAATCACCCTCCCCCTATCCATCCTCCCCTCTCCCCTCTCTTCCCCTCCCTCTCCTCTTTCCCCATATTCTTGAGCTATAACTTATTGCATTGCCTTTCAGGAGGCTCAAACATAGAATGGCAAATTCATACCAAGAAAGATTTTCATAAAAAACAGATATGTGAGATTACAAAAGGCCCTTACATTCCAGTATCGTTTTCTCCATGAAACTCCATCTCATTTCTTAAGCCCCAATAAAAGAAAGACAATTATAACTCTTCAACCCTATCAAGAGAAAGATGCTAAGTGAGAGAATTGCTCCCTTAGAAAGCCAAATACTATTTTCCAAAACTTGACTCAACCAGTGAAATCCTTTAAGTCCTGGAAAAAGTATCAGGATTCCAAAATATTTTTGTCTATTCAAATAAAATAATAAGAGTCTTAACTCACTGAGACCAAACCAATATTTCTTTCAAATTAACCAAAGGTAATACCTGAAAATTCTTTTCAATGAGTGCATTGCAGTTTAAAATTCTGATAGTACTTTTATCTTAAAGTTGTATTTTCCAGAGAAATGAGAGGGTTTTGAACATTTGAAACCTGAAGAACATCAGGAAATTACAAAGCAAAATCTCTGCAAGAATCTGGAATTTAGTTCACAGAGCACAAAGTGGAAGCCAGAGTAAAGATCATTGGGCATATTGGGACCTAAAGCCACCTGTTTGGGACAGGGAAGCACACAAAGGCATCTGTGGCTAAGACCCCCATCAATCATGGCCATCATCAACAAAAACTCTTAGAGCTCCTCCCTCTTACCAAGACCCCCTTTGAAAAAAGTCATAACATAAACCACAAAAAAAGAGCAAACAATTCCATCTATGTCTGGGCAAGAAACATCAGTAGAAACCTTCTCTGAAGAAGACAAATGGCTAAGAAAATATGAAAAAATGCTCATCACCCCTAATCATCAGAGATATGCAAATCAAAACTACCTTGAGATATCAATTAACCCCAGTGAGAATAGCCCACATCACAAAGTCCCAAAGTTGGCTCAGTTCTATAGCTCAGCAGCTAGGGTGCCAGCCACATACACCGGGGCTGACAGGTTCAAACCTGGTCCGGGCCAGCCAAACAATAACAACTACAAAAAAAAAATAGCCAGGTGTTGTGACAGGTGCCTGTAGTCCCAGCTACTTGTGAGGCTGAGGCAAGGAATTGCTTAAGCCCCAAAGTTTGAGGTTGCTGTGAGCTGTGATGCCACAGCACTCTACCAAGGGCAACATAGTGAGACTCTGTCTCAAAAAACAAAACAAAATAAGTCCCAAAGTTGCAGATGCTGGAGAGAGGGGAACACTTTTACACTGTTGGTGGGACTACAAACTAATACAACCTCTTTGGAAAGAAGTATCGAGAATCCTCAAAGAACTCAAATTAGACCTCCCATTGGATCCTGCAGTCCCACTACTAGGCATCTACCCAGAAAAAAAAAATCATTTTATCACAAGGACATTTGCATTAGAATGTTTATCTCAGCTCAATTTATAATCACAAAGATGTGGAAACAACCTAAATGCCCACCAACCCAGGAATGGATTAACAAGCTGTGGCATATGTATACCATGGAATACTATTCAGCCATAAAAAGATGGAGACTTTATATCTTTTGTATTAACCTGGATGGAGTTGAAACATGTTCTTCTTAGTAAAATATCTCAGTAATGGAGATGTTAGAATCCAATGTACTCAACTCTGATAGGAAGCAGTAGACAATCTAATACAGACCCACATAAGAGAAAAACTCATTTCAATTCAAGGTAGGGGGCAGAGGAATGATGGAGGGGGGAAATGGGAGGTCGGAGGGGGATTGGTGAGCTCCTACCTAATGGGCACAATGTGAGGGTATATGGCACACCTCCTGGGAAGTGAGCTGTGAGACACAGTTATAACAGGGACTCTAACGGACAAGTGCAAACATTGTAACCTCATTCTTTGTATGCTCAAAATAAGCTGGAACAATAAAAAGATGTAAATTGATTCAAGTTTTCAATCAAAAACTACAAAGGACACAACAAAAAAGAATGAAATCATTCATTTGCAGCCGTATGAATGGAACTGGAGGTCATTGTGTTATCAATCGTATGTGGGAACAAAAAAAAGAGGATTTCATGGAGATCAAGAGTAAAATGCTGGTTACAGAGGCTGGAAAGGATAGTGGGGAGGAGGATGAAAAGAGGTCGGTTAGTGGGAATGAACATGTAGTTAGACAGAAGGAATACCTTTGACCGAAGAGTAGGGAGACTATAGTTAATGGCAGTGTATTTTTCAGAATAGAAAAGGCCAGGCACAGTGGCTCACACCTGAAACCCCAGCTCCGGGGATGCCCAGGCGGGAGGCTCCCTTGATCTCAGAGATGGAGACCAGCCTGAGTAAGAGCAGAACCCTGTCTTTATAAAAATGGAAAAACTAGCTAGGCGTTGTGGCAGGCACCTGAAGTCCCAGCTACTCGGGAGGCTGAGGCAAGAGGATTGCTTGAGCCCAAGAGTTTGAGGTTGCTGTGAGCTATGATGCCATGGCTCTCAACCACAGGGTGACCAGACTGTCTCAAAACCAAAAATAGCTAGAAGATTCAAAATGTCCCCAACACATAGAATGAGAAATACTTGGATAATGGATACTCTTGTCTAAATCCTGACTTGATCATCACACATGCTATGCAGCTAACAAAATTTCACATGTATCCCATAAGGATGTGCAAATGTTATCAAAAAATCATAAACAGAAGAAGGGTGCAGCTTGCCATGTCCTGGCTAGGGTTTCTATTTTTAGTAGAGACTGAGGTCTCGTTCTTTCGTAGTTAGGTTAGTCTCCAACTCCTGAGCTCAAACAATCCTCCTGCCTCGGCATCCCAGAGAGCTAGGATTCTAGGCATGAGCCACGGAGCCTGGTAGACAGTGATTTCTGAAACACATTTTTTTAAAGCTTCTTTTTCAATAAACAATAACCGTAAGTTTTAAGTTTACATCAGAGGGCTCCCACACTGCGTGAGGAATGAGACAAACGCTAAGCCTCGGATCCAGATGGCCGGGTGTCCCACAGGCACACAGTAATCACAGGTCAGGAGCGGACACGGTTCCCAGGGGTGGCACTGCCACCAGCCCGTCTTGGATGGAACTGCCAAAGAAGCCCGCTCCTCCCCCGGCTCTCCCCGAGGTTAAAATCATTCTAACATCTCACTTGTTTAGTCCCACGAGGCTCTGTCTGAAGGGCCCTGCTCGTGAACAAAGGGCAAGCAATCAGGATTCCAGCCAGTCCGGCTGCTCTCAGATTGGTGACTTTAAATTGATACGTTAGGAAAGGTCCACAGTTCAAACTCTCCTCACTGTTTTGCTCAAACTAGATCGTTCTCTGCCCACCAGAGGCCAAAGGTTGCCGCTGCAATCACCTCAAAGTCCTGCTCAGACACCCTGGGGAATGATCAACACTGAAACCCGAGATGAAACTTTCTCACTGCCGTTCATCACTGCGCTGCTCAAGTAACACCAATCCCACAGAGCAAAGACCGGGGTCTTTATTTCAAGGAAAAGTAAAAGCCGGACTGTGTTTTTAAAGTCACTTCACGGAATCTAACTATATTTTACAAAAGCTGCTTAGTTCTGAAGTCAATTTTTAACTCCTCAGTTTCCTACCATCTGGTCTGTTCGTAACCCAGACCTCCCGGCTCTTGTCCTGTGGACCCCTCAGGCTTTCACCCTCTCCCACACAGTGAGTCTTTGAGGATGGAAAGAAAACTCCATCTCTTTTAGAAAACTTCACTTTTCTATATTCTGCTTAGGTTGTGCAATATTGTGTAAATAAATGGCCCATTCTGGGTCAATGTTAACAAAACTGAACTGACTCAGGCGACCTGGTTTCTGTGTGGTGACCACAGACACGTAGGGAAGCTGCATTGCAAAAGGGCTTCTATCATTCATTCCAAGGCTGCATCCTACCCCCGTGAGTTTGTAAGCCTGAAAAGTATCTGTGGAATACTTTATACTTAACATACCTAATGATGCTTTTTGAATCACTCTTACGGCAGCCGACATCCTGACCTCCCCCAGGGTGAGTGCCCTTTGCAAACCAGATTCCTTGCCCGCCCTGCAGTGCAGTGAAGGGCAAACCCAGGAGGTGCGGGCAGAGCAGCGGCACCCTCTTGCTTCCCTGAAAGTAGGAGGCCGAAGCAAAGGTGCAGATAACCCATCTCTTTCTTATAACAGTGAGTGCCAACGTGTCCCCCTTCCTCTTGGCAGAGTGACAGATGCTTGCTCCCTCTTCCCCTCAAGAACAGCAGGTGGTGGGCCTTAGTGATCAGGCAGGTGACAGCTGGGGAAGAAGTGACATCCCGGAGACGGCTGAGCTCCAGAGGAAGCAGTAAGCCTAGAATGCCCCCCCCCCATGGTGCCAGAGTCCTCATCACTTCCTGCACGTCCTTCCTGCCAGAAGGAAGTTTCACAGCCTGAGGAAGACACTTGCTAACCGTTCTCTTTTGCCATTTTATTTCACAAGAACCATGGAGATCTTCGGGGGGATCTCTCAGGCTTAGCCCCCGTTCCCGGATGCTGGAGCGTGCCTCAGTGGACACGTCCTCCGCAGCCTTGTACGCACTTTTTTAACCCGTGACAGGATGTGAGGTGGACACCATTGTACACGTGCTGCAGACGTTTGAACACGGTGGTCAAAACAGAGCCACAGACCGGCTCCTCCTTACAGAGCGTCTCCACCGCTGCCCTGTGTTTTCTCTAAAATCCAGTCCACATACTCGGCAACTTTGGTGTAGACACCGGGTTGTTCCCTGCGGCCACAGCCTTCACCCCAGCTGGTAATGCCGACCAAATGCCATATTCCGCTGTGTTTACAGACCAGGGGACCGCCAGAATCTCCCTGTGTCACAGTGGAAAAATGAAAACGAAACCAAGTTATGACAGCTGCGGTTCAAATTCGAGACTGCCTGTGAGATTCTGTAGTCACACGGCATGAACACACACACAGAGACACACACACTTTCTTAAAGCGCTTCAGGTATCCCCTGGGCATCATGAGCTGTTGGGTGCAGTGGCAATCATTTAATTCAATTAGCTCCATATTCCTTTAATTCTGAGGTAAACCCAATGAAGAAATTTTAACATCATTAACCCATGCCACAGAAAGCTAAGGTTCTTACATTTTAGAACCATGATTGTTTGCACATTCGTCCCCCTTAAGGATATACACGTGTAGACTGCAATGTGTATGTCATAAATCATATAAATATAATATACAGTGTGGATTCACTTTGCTAAAGGTCACTTATAAAGTTATCAGAGGACTTTTCTCTGAAATTTTTAAAAGCTATAACAAAATAATGCTTTGGGGAAATATAAGTGGAATGTCTACAGCTGACTACCTCCCTGCACTGACCACCTTCTTAAGTTGACCTAATTCTCCTGGCCTGGACGTGCCCCACATGTGCGTCTCCTTGTGGTGACCACCTCTGAGTGTGGACCAGCTTGTTACAGGCCCCGGAGGGTTGCATTTGGGAAGCAGCCTAGTGTGTGTTTTTCTCAATCCAGTGCATTACCTTACAAGTGTCTTTCCCCCCTTCTTTATGGCCAGCACACAGCATCTGTTTGGTTATGTCATAATCTCTGTATCTTTTCTGGCATTCTTCATTTGTTACCAAAGGAATATTTGCCTTTTGTAGAGTATTTTGGATCTCACCTATGAAGGAACCAAGGTGGAACTTCAGCAGGAAGGCATACAAACATGCATGGCGACAAGTCTTAAGTTTTAAAGTTAATCAAAATAGTAAACTTTGCATAAGGGTCCTATCAGTGAATTAAAATAGCAAAGACTGGGCCAGATGTGGTGGCTCACACCCATAATCCTAGCACTCTGCAAGGTCAAAGTAGGTGGATTGCCTGAGCTCAGCCTGAGCCAGAGCAAGACCTCATCTCCAAAAATAACTCAACCTTGTTGTGGCAGGCACCTGTAATCCCATTTACTGGGGAGGCTGAGGCAAGAGAATCGCTTGGACCCAAGAGTTTGAGGTTGCTGTGAGCTGTGATGCCATGGTACTCTACCAGGGGCAACAAAGTGAGACTGTGTCTCAAAAAAAAGAAAGAAAGAAAAAGGCAAAGATTGAGAATGCAGAGTTAGAGAGAGAGAGAGAGAGCATATACACTAGAGCGGCTGGTATTGTCCTCTTACCTCTTCTATGTCAGGACAACCCAGCACCAGGGCTAACCAGAGACCTTGCTTTCATATTTTCTTGCCATCCTCTCATCTCAGAAATCCTTTTTTATATTTATTACCTATATTCCAAAGCCTGGAAGTTCTTACCTTTCATTCCTTTTGTTTTACATATTCAAGATTATAATTTATAAAAATAACATTTCTGGAAAAAAAAAAATCAAAGCTTGGGCAACCAAAGAGGATTTTATTTTCAGAGTAAATGCAAATGAGCATTTTCCATAAGGAACAATTTATTTGCGGGTCATTTACATTCCACTCATGTCTAGGTTCCCCTGGGGCATATGCTGGGAGCTTGCTTTGCTTAGTTAAACTGACTATTGATTTCCTCTTATCTCAAGTTACTAGTAAAAAATTTACAAATTTGAATTAGCTGAATTAAGGACTGAATCAGGAAAGATGAAGAGAGCTTAGCAAGCCATCTCCTTTGGTAAAGAGCAACACAAATAGTATTCTCTTTTTGAGACAGAGCCTCAAGCTGTCGCCCTGGGTAGAGTGCTGTGTCATCACAGCTCACAGCAACCTCCAACTCCTGGGCTCAAGCGAGTCCCTTGCCTCGGCCTCCCAAGTAGCTGGGACCACAGGTGCCCGCAACAACATCCGACTATTTTTTGGTTGCTGCTGTCCTTGTTGTGTGGTGGGCCCAGTCTGTATTCAAACCCACCAGCTCAGGTGTATGAGGCTGGCACCTTAACCATTTGAGCCGCAGGTGCCGAGCCCTTTTTTTTTAGAAACAGAGTCTCACTCTGTCCCTTGGGCAGAGTGTTATGGCATCATAGCTCACAGCAACTTCAAAGTCCTAGGCTCCAAAGTTCCTCTTGCCTCAGCCTCCCAAGTAGCTGGGACTACAGGCACCTACCATCATACACCTGGCTAGTTTTTCTATTTTTAGTAGAAACAGGGTCTTGATCTTGCTCTGGTTGGTCTCAAACTCCTGAGCTCCTCCCACCTCAGCCTCCTAGAGTGCTGGGATGACAGGCATGAGCCACCATGCCCGACAAGGGACATACTTTTATAAAGGAAGAGTTTTGTAAAGGTTTGTTTCCTGAAGAGTTTAAGGGGAATTGAGACACTCCAAGTCCTGAATAAGAAGGGACGATGAACACAAGGTTCTGTAGAAAGAATTCACAGGGCCCGTAACTTGGATAGGGCCTGACACTCTCGTCCATAACGCGGCAGACGACATCGCAGTTAGTGTTACCTGCCTGCCTTTGCCATCCACAAACCACATTATAGTTATGGCCGGTAACTAAAAATATCATTTATGCTCACCATTATTTCAAAATTATGATAGGTATTTAGCACAAATTACTATGTGGTAGGTTAATATAAGAAGTATATATATATTATATTACTTTTAAGAAGTATTTTGATAACTGTATTCACTTTGATGGGTTTCCTTTGTAACCCTGTGTATTTTATTTAGGAACTTAGGAACCGCATTATTAGAAAAGTGGTTCATGGAGCTCATCAGATTCCAGGAGGGGTACATGGGGAAAAAAACGGTTAAAAAATGGCCACACAGAGAGATGGTACACCTGCCTCTGCTCCTTTGGTGAGCGTCACGAGAAGGTGGCACTGGGGACACAGACAGCACTGTGAATACGAAGGACTGTGGGCTCAAGTGGGCTCGTTGGCCCTACATGGGCCCAGTCCTTTATAAAAAGTCAAGCAAATAATCTTTATAATGAAGGAAGATATTTAAAAGATTCTCTTATAAATTTTTTTCAGGCCCAAGCAAAAAATATGTCTTCTCAAGAACCAATGAATAAATACCTGAGAACAGACAGGAAGGATCATGAATTTGGACGTAATTTTAGACAGAAGCTGATTCCACTGAGGCACTTCTGTATTTCAACATGTAAGAGTTGCTCTAGGAAAAATATTTACAGTATCATGCTGTACCTTTTTCCTTCGAGAAGCCCCAGCCAGTCACCCAGCAGTTGGTATAAATTGTATTTACATCACCTTGGGAAGGTAGGCATATTGGCTTTTGGAATTCTGAAAGAGAATTTTTAAATTAGATTTTGATTAACTAAAGACTTTACCAATACATCCTTTCTGCTCAACTTCTAAGGTCAATGATTCAAGAACATCTTTCTCTATCAGAGTCATTTTAACATGGCATTTTTGATCTTGCCATGAAATTTGATCTTTGCCACTTGAAATTTTTTCATTAAATTAAAAAAAGTCAAGAATTCAACTCTACAATGAAAACATTCAGAAGTTCTTGCATCTTGTTCATCGTAGGCTGTCTATCACAGTGATAGCAAAGTGTCTGCACTGTTGCAAGCATTCTTTGAAGGGCTTCAGTGTATGCATTACTACAACAAGCCTAAGCGGCAATTATCATCTTCATTCTTGCAGATGAGAAAATTAGAGGTGCAAAGAGGTCACGTAACTTGCCTGAGGTCACATCATCATTAGTGGACAGAGATCAGCTCCTCTGGGACAGTGCACCTCCACAGTCTGCACCCCCAACCATACGCTCCTGTCTTCCCAGAGCTTTTTTTCTGTGTCAGTCTCTTTTCTACCCAAATTACTCCTGGAAATTACTATTGGGTCCCACTTGCCCTTAGACGTCCCTAATATCCCCAAGGCCAACGTAGGGAAAATCCTGTTGCTCAAAGTCCAGTGCTTCCAGGTGGCACAGACATCTCCTATGCCTGTCACTTCAGTAATGCTCCTGTAGTTGTTTCCTACCCTAAAATGACAAATTAAAATTTCAAGTGAAGTGATCTTCACCCCTCTTGCAATCACGGATCCCTCTCCTCCACTAACCAGGAGATAGCGACAACGTCTCCAGATATATGCTCTGGAGATGATTCAACTGACACAATTCAAACCAACACAACTCAGCTGTGGCACACCTCCTTACACACGCTACATACCGGTGTAATTCAAAGGAGCCTGGAGTTTTAGTAAGGCGATATCATGACCACCTTCCGAGATTTTGTAGTTTGGGTGAATAATAATTTCTTTTATTAGTGAGAAAGGAGTTTCTCCTGTGATGTCTGACAGATTTAAAATGCCACTGTAAATGCGCCAAATATCTGGTAAGGGAAGTCTAGGAGAGAGAAAGAAATATCTACTTCAAAGTGGGAAGGCAAGGTGACATGTGACATATTTTCCCTACCTAATTCATCCTCCTGGCAATTTGTCATCATCAACACAGCAGCAATGAATCTCTGAACATTTAGTCTAAGACACTGAAAGAGCATATTTATGTGATTATATCGTCTTTACTGAGAGTAAAGTGCAGGAGTGTCGCTGGCCCACTCCGAGAGTGACTGTGGTGGGGAGATGCTGGCAATCCATCACAGGAAAATCAAGCTTGTGGCCCCAACCCGAACGAAGTACACTCACCCAGTTCAGAGCTGTCAAGGTGAGGCTGATCATACATAAGCCCTTCTCATAGGACAAATTACGGGGACTTCAGTGTGGTTTAAAATCTATCTACATTTTGGACAGCATGAAAATTTAAATCAACTCTTTAAAAGACGATCACATACAAAGTAAATCCAAAATTACTATCTAAAGCAGAGTCTTATTTTGCTTTAGAAATAAAGTGTTAAAAAAAAATTAGGCAAATGTTACCAGGTGAGTCTTACAAGACAAACCTGCACAAAGTTCTGAGGGGATGGCGGAGGTGTCAGGCAGAGAGGGGCTTTCTCCCAACTAAATCTCAGGGTTTCTCTAGTATCTCTTCGAAACTCACAATACTGAACCTTGAAGAATGAAAATGCTTGGTCCCAAATAGGGTGCATTTACCAAAAATGGGACCAATTTTCCAGCTTGATGCCTTTTCTTCCAACCCAACAGCCTGTCCTTAGCAAGGCCACCTGCAACAGAACTGTCCCTGTGCCAGTGGTAAAGCCCTGGTCCAACTACAAAACCTAAATATTTCAAGACTTTAAAACTACCGTGTATACTTACTGGCCAACAAAACAGAAATATTATATCAGATTACATACACTAAAATATAAGGAGTAAAAAACTATCATATTTTCATTTTATTATTATAACTTAGCACATCGTTGAATCAAAGAGCAATAAGTCCATTTTCTATGGGCCTGAACAGTAAGTCATTGCAGGATACATTAGGGATTGGTGGGTCGAGGGAGGATCAAAGCATTGTTTTAGATTCTTTTGTGGCAGGAGTGATATTCACCCAGGGGCACTGATGGGTCAAGATGGTTCGGCATTCACACCCTAATTGTGAAAAATATTTTGACTACCATTACCGCCTTCAAATACCTATTATTAAAAGAGAATAACTCACCATTCATAAAGTCACATGATGATGGAGAAACCGATTACAGATTCTTCAAAAGGAAAAATCAAAATCAGACTGTGGATAAGAGACACCCCACACTCACCCATCAAAGCAATGGGCTGCAGTTAGCACCCACTGGTGTCCAATGATGGACCCTCCGCACAGATGCCTCCGGCCCGCCAGCTGCACTTGCAGGCTCACCTGCCAGGGCCACTCTCCCCACGAAGAGTTCGTTCCTCCAACAATGCGTGTGTTTATTTTTGTTGTGCAGACTAAAGAGAGAGTGTTGAAGCAAAGACTTAGAACTGAAGTGAATCAGAGTGCCTGTCAGCCAAGGTAAACAAGACACATAATCCCACTGTATAAGACCAAGGAAATTAGTCATCACAACAACACAGAAAGTCTTTTACAGCTCTGTGAAAATGTGAGGAGCACTCACCAGAGCTGTCCCCAGCTTTACACAATCTCAAAGAATAACCAGATCTCGCTTGTGTCCCATACGTAATGCTTGTTGGAGAACCATCCGGAGATAACTTTAAGGAACATTTGCACCTAGACAAAACCAATGGTATAAAGAGTGAACCTTCACAGAGGGTGAAAGTAGATGAAATGACCTGGTCAACCCTTTGAAAAACAAAAATTCCCCTACTTTTGTCCCCTGCAGTCTTTGGGGAGTAGAGAATAAGTGAAAAACTGACAGCGGACCATCTGCGTGCAAGTCTCCTGGCAAACGCTGGCTCCACTCACAAAGGTCACGTTCAAGTCTTCCCCTCCAAAGTCAACTCCAGGGTAAATTTTGGAATGGCAGGGTTCTGTGCCAATTACAGGCATAAAAGGACATAAAACGGAAAAGCAGTAAACCACATTTGCACAAATGTTTGACCCCCTGAGGACCATTTCATCACTATTGTTAGAAATCATGAAATCTGACACATTTGATTTGATATTATTATTAATTCACATTACCAGGCAAAGTTCTTTTGCAGGTTAAAAGACTATATCCAGATATAGTGTTTTCTTGAGTAGTAGAAGTTGGTGTCCCGCTTTGAGAAGTCTTAAGGAAACAAACATTTCTACTTTGTATGAAAAAGCCAAAGAGATAAAAAGAAAACAGCATTAAAGGCATTAGGCAGATAGAGAAGCTCCTTACATCAGAAAGCAACTCCGCAAACTTTATTCTTCTGAGAAATTATCTTTAAAGTAAATCAGACTACAAGACTCTTGGAAATTGCAGAGATTAAATGTAAATCGAGCCTTATCTCCCTTTGGAGAAAATTAATAGGCACAGGATAATCTCAAAAAGGACAATAGTTCTACCGTCTAACTGGAAAAAAATTTCACCTTCTAACTGGACAAAAGTTCCGCCTTCTAACTGGAAAACAAAAAGCATCAAAGAACAGATTCTGAGGATGTATGTGGCTGATCCTATTATCTAAATACTTGCCCTTGTCTTAGCTCCATGCTATAGGAACAGAAACGGGTGGGTTATCTGAAATACAGAGGTCAGCCCAGAACTTTAATCAGGATAAACAAGGCTCTAGTTTCTGAAACAAAGAAATTAGAGCCACTAAACTTAAAGGATATTGTGCCAGTGAGTTGTTTTTACTTCTAGCTAATATAAAACATTAACATCAATAAGAAAGGCATCAGACCCCACCCCCCAGGGCTACTGTTTCATTGATTCAATGGTATGTTTTAACACATAAACTGCCATGTAAGTTGTATTTAACTTATGCTAGTTTTGATCCCAGGGCCTCACGAAGCATATATAATTCACACATCTCTTAACACATCTTGACCCAATTAAACACCAAGGCCCCAAGGAAAAAGCATTCTTTTTTCTAGAGTGGCAGTTAATAACTAAGAGGAGGTGGGTAGCCAAGTCTGCTAGTCTCTTAACTAATCTGCACCTGGCAAAAAGGTACCTATTTAAATTGCCAGTTCCAGTATTTGGAGGGAAATGAACAAAACTTTTTAAAACCCCAGCCTATAAAATAAAAGTGAGGAGAGAACAGCAGTCAACGCCTCCCATGTGTACTCGCCTTTGTGACTCTGCGTTCCAGGCACTCGTGTAGAAGGTAAAGAAGAGGCAGGAGGGATGGTAGGTGCAAATGGTTCTGCACACAAAGGCATCTGGAGTGAGGACTCGGGCCACAGCCGCATCTGAAAACGCAAGATTCTGGAAAAGGTCCATGTGGCAACCTGTGAACCCAGGGAGGGAAGAAGAGCCTCAGAGAATGATGAGATGCTAAATTTTGTCAAAGCAACTAAGGAAATTGTGACTATTATTCATAGCACTAAATATCCTAAGTAAGAAAATGCCTGTTGAAGTATCTTCAGAAAACAAAAATTTTTTTTTTTGAGACAGAATTTCACCCTGCTGCCCAGGCTAGTGTGCTGTGTTGTCATCATAGCTCACAGCAACCTCAGTTCTTGGGCTCTAACAATCCTCCTGCCTCAGTCTCCTGAGTAGCAGGGACTACAGATGTGCACCACCGTGCTCTGCTAGTTTTAATTTTCTTTTTATTTTTAGAAGAGACAGGGTCTTGCTCTTGTTCAGGCTAATCTCAGAGTCCTGAGTTCAAGGCTTTCTCCCACTTCAGCCTCTCAGAGTGCAAGGATTATAGGTGTGAGCCACCCGCAAGGCCAATACATGTTCAAACTTACTGTTTGCTGTTTCGAGAAAGGCAAAATTGATCTAATTCCAATAAGAGACAAATTGCTATGTCAGAAAAATAAAATAGCTAACCTACGGTCTTAGCTCCATTCACCACGAATGCCCAATGTTGAATGAAGTTAGTCAGGGTGTGTTCATGCTTCCTAGACATTACCTTGACCCCAGATTCCCAGCCTCAGGAACATGAGGTTTCATGTTATGTTTCCTGAATATGATAAAAATGTTTTTAATAATATGAGATTAATAAAACTACCAGATGGCTAATTAATATTAGAACAAGAGAAAAAATCATTTTTATTATTGTTACATAATATTACTTCTTGTTTTTATACTTTTTTTTTTCTTATTCTGTTGCCCTGGGTAGAGTGCTGTAGCATCATAGCTCACAGCAACCTCAGACTCCTGAGCTCAAGAGTTCCTCTTGCCTTAGTCTCCGAAGTAGCTGGGACTGGCTAGTGTTTCTATTTTTAGTAGAGACGGGGTCTTGCTCTTGCTTAGGCTGGTCTCAAACTCCTGAGCTTAAGGCATTCTCCCACCTTGGACTCCCAGACTACTGGGATTATAGGTGTAAGCCACAGTGCCCGGCCTTTGATTCATATTATTTTTTCAGTTTACTCAATGTCATAACACCTAAATTCTATTATTATGAAACTGTAAAGAATAATGCTAAAGGGAAAAAGAAAAATAGACATAATTTAAATAAACAGAGTTGCACCAAGAGAAAGTACCTCTTATATCTCTTCTTACAAGCAGCAGTCTAGGAAATAACACCTCAGCTAATTACATGAGAATGTTTCAAATTGTATATGGAAACAACACACTGTACCCCATGATAGTAGTAATGTGCACAACTATGATTTAATTTAAAAAAAAATAATAAAAACACAAAACATATGATGCTGAGAACTTATGAGTCATCTGTACCGACCTACAACTGCATTTTCAAAGGACATCATGACTTGCACCCAGTTATAGTGACAAGGAGCTCAATGCTTCACGACAAGGGCCATTTGTTTTCTGAACTACCCCAGATGGTAGGAATTCTTGTTTTATCTTCTTCACACTGTTATCTACCTAGATATACCCTATGAAACTGCACAGGTTAGTTTAATCCCTTCTCTGATGGTAGCCCTACAAAAAACTTAATTAAAAAAATTAAGGCTGGGCACAGTAGCTCACACCTGTAGTCCCAGGCTGAGGAGACTGTAGGAGGCTGAGGTGGGTGGATCACTTGAGCTCAGGAGTTCAAGACCAGCCTGAGCAAGAGTGAGACTCTGTACTAAAAAGTGGTGGTGGGCGCCTGTAGTCCCAGGAGTCTCTGGGGGTGCTGTGAGCTATGATGCCACAACACTCTACCCAGGGTGACAGAGTGAGACTCTGTTTCAAAAAAAAAAAAAAAATTAAGACAATCATCTTGACTCTTTTTCAAGACACATATCTTTAACTTCTTCTTTTGTCATGTTTTATTTTCTATTCTTTCTACATATCTTGCCCTCTTTTGAAGTGCTCTGGTTTCCCACCAACCCATACAAAACACGGAATACAGAACCGAACGTGGTGTCTCAGTCACGGCAGACAGAAGGGCAGGTGCCTCCTGGTTCCAAAGACCCTTCTCTTTTATAAAGTCTGTTTGTTTTTTTGTTTTGTTTTGCAAAAGCGCTACAGGATATTAGAGGGAATGGCACAGGGACCTCCAAGCACCCTCTCCTCCATAAAATGGCAGCATTGGCAAAATTGTCCAGACAAACAGGACTCTGGAAATTAATCAGAGGCTTACGTCAACCCGGGGAGTTGAACATCAGTAAGTACAGTGAGCCCTGAGGGCTTTACCTTGCCCTACACACAGCCCCTTCTTCTCACCTCCATGGGAACCTTGAAAACCCCATGATCACAGTGAAAACCAGCAGCCTCACAGACACAGGGGAGTCAGGATGGGGGTGGGGCTACTCTAAAGGCTCATTCCCAGAAACTGTCTGGAAGTTCCCCACGAAATCCCACTAACAAGATTTGAATTTATTTGGCCTGACTCACAGTTTGCTCAGAAACCATGATGTTGCACCCTGTAATTGCCATGTTACCAGACCATCTTTCTCAGTGAGAGCTGATAACAATAAAAACTGTTTTCCAGTTTATATGCTTTTATTTTTGGTGGGCATAGGTTCAGCAGCTCAACTGAGAATTAAAAAATTATATGTGTTTATTGCAACCCAATTCATAATTGCTAAGTCATGGAAGAAGCCCAAGTGCCCATTGACCCACGAATGGATCAATAAATTGTGGTATATGTACACCATGGAATATTTCGCAGCCATAAAGAAGGATAGAGACTTTACCTCCTTCATGTTTACATGGATGGAGCTGGAACATATTCTTCTTAGCAAAGTATCTCAAGAATGGAAGAAAAAATATCCAATGTACTCAGCCGTACTGTGAAACTAATTTATAGTTTTCATATGAAAGCTATAACCCAATTATAGCCCACGAATATGGGGAAAGGGGAGGGGGGAGGGAAGGGGATTGGTGGGACCACACCTATGGTTCATCTTACAAGGGTACATGTGAATCTTTTTAAATGTAGAATATAAATGTCTTAACACAATAACTAAGAAAATGCCATGAAGGCTATGTTAACCAGTTTGATGAAAATATTTCAGATTGTATATAAAACCAGCACACTGTACCCCATGACTGCATTAATGTACATAGCTATGATTTAATAAAAATTAAAAATAAAAAAATAAAAAGTAATATGGTAAGAGTTTTCTTTATCAGAACTACAAATAGTTTTGTCTGATTAATTGGGGAAATGTGATTATCTTGAAATCTTTCAAAATCTATGCAGAAAGATGGACAAAAAGAGAAGACAATCTCTAAACATAGAAGTTCATATGTGAGTTGAGAGATAGAATTCTTTCCAATAAAAAAAAAAAAAGGGGAGGCCAGGAGTGGTAGCCAGTGCCTGTAATTCCAGCAGCTTGGGAGGCCAAGGCAGGATGGTCACTTGAGCCCAGGAGTCTGAGGTTATAGTGAGCTATGGTTTCACCGTAGCACTCTAGCCTGAGTGATAGAATGAGACATTTTTAGAATGTCTCTAAAAATAAATAAATAAGTAAAAAATTTAAAAATAGAGCAAACATCAAAAAGAGGAGGGAGGTGGGAGGAATGTGAAATTGGTTTCGCTCACGTTCAAGTTCTGGCTCTGCTTGTCAGCTACGTCAGCAGTCCTCAGACGTTTTGGCACCAGGGGCTGGTTTCGTGGAAGATGGGGGGTGTGGGTGTGGGACAGGGAGCCAGAGCTCAGGTGGTGATGTGAACAACGGGGAACCGCTGCAAACACAGAGGAGCTTTGCTCGCTTGTCCACCACTCACCTCCAGCTCTGAGGCCCACTTCCTAACGGGCCACGGACTGGGGATTGGGGACTACAAAGCTACGGAACCCTGAGCACATCATTTCACTTCTAGGAGCTTTAGGAGTTTTTGGCTTGAGAGATTAGGAAAAACCTTGGTAAAACTAAGGACAAACGTGTGGTAATAAGGACAAATCTTCCCTGATTTGTGAATTCCATTCAGGCAGTTAGGTCAGGAGACTGAGTGAGGATAGGTCTAGAAGGCGCCTGGCTATTAGATGCTCCCTGAGGAATGTGGGAGAGTGGACCCAGTGAAAACCCCTGCCTTTAGTAGTTCAGAACAACGCCTGAAGCATCCAAGATTCGTATCATTCTGTAAAGGCCATTTAATCTGACTGAAGTAATGTGTGAACTCACTGCAACTCACCAGGAGAGCCAGCACAGGACGCAGACACCTGGGGCTGGGGGGCACTCTCAGGCCCCAGGCCACGGCATGAGCTTGCCAGTTCCCTGGGTTAAATGCGCCAGATATTTTGAGCAACAGAATGCAACACAATGAATAGAGCCCTACCTCCTGGAGTCTGTATCTTCTAAAACTCTCCAGGGAAAGAAAAACAAAAATAAAATCATCAGTATGTTTGAACCAATCAGTCTGGCACACACATGAGCAGTGTGCAGGGGCACAGGGCACAAAGAGGAAAGGCAGTGTGCGGCTGCCAGCCTCCTAACCCCACGGAGAAGCCCTAGCTCGGCACCCAGCACCGGCGTGGCACAGGGGCGGCACTCAGTACTGTGCAGAACTGGCTACGAGTGATTTGGTTTCAATACCATCCCGTCCTTAACATTTTGTGTACTAACCAGCGTGAGATTTCACGGCAACTGAAATGACCTCTATGACTGAAATAATCAAGTTTTATTGGTTCTTCTTGGTAGAGTCGTTTCACTATATGGATACCACCAAGAAATGACCTTGCAGTTTCCGCTACAATGTCACTGTGCTGGTTTTCTACTACTGCAGTTAAGAGATTGTTATCACAAACCTGTGCCTTAAAACAACACAAATGTATTGCCTTACAATTCTAGATATTAGAAGTCCAAAATGGGCTAAAATCAAGATGTCAGCAGGGCTTTGTACCTCTAGGAAGCTTTGAAGGAGAACCTATTTCTTGCCTTTTTCAGCTTCTAGAGGCCACCTGAATTCCTTGGCTCATGGATCCCTCACTTTCAAAGCCAGCAGTGTGACCCCTTCCAATCTCTCTCTCTGGCTCTGACCCTCCTGCCTTTTTCTTTCATAAGGGCTCCTTTTGAGGACATTGAAACCATCCAGATAGTCTAGAACTTCACCTGGGGCACTGCAAAAATTTTTAAAGATCATTAATTAAAGTATTTTTGATAGAAGGTCAAAGTATAGTAAGTATATTCTTTTTTTTACTTTTTTTTTTTTCTTTTTGAGTCAGAGTCTCACTTTGTCACCCTGGGTAGAGGCTATGATGTCATAGTTCACAGCAACCTCAAACTCATAGGTTCAAGTGAACCTCTTACCTCAGTCTCCTGAGTAGCTGGGACTACATGCACTCACTGTAATATCTGGCTAGTGTTTCTATTTTTAGTAGAGACGGGTCTCACTCTTGCTCAAGCTGGTCTCCAACTCCTGAACTCAAGGGATCCACCCTCCTCAGCCTCCCAGAGTGCTGAGATAACAGGTATGAGCCACTGCGCTCTGCCTTACTTTTTTTTTTTTTTTGATCAATGTAATTTAAGTGTGCCTCAAAGTTTACCTATAGTAGGTTCAAGTGTGTCGTGAGATGAAAAAGATTGTAAAACATTGATCTAAAATTAATCTCCGCATTCAAAATCCTTAACTTAATCACATCCACAAAGATCCCTTTGCAGAGTCAGGTGTCCCGGATTAGCACGTGGACATCTCTGAGGGCTCGTACTCTGCCTACTGTAATCACACAGTGAGAGAGCAGTCACACGATTACCAATCTCTGAAAGTGCGCAGGGCTTCAGCGAGAATCCAGATACCACGTTGTCCAGCACCTTAATACTGGTTGGTGTCCCACTTGGACTGTGCTTTAACAGGCAGTTGTTTCTGAATGTGAAAAACAGAGGTTACTTTTGCTTGCTAAATTTTGAGGAGAAAATAGAGTGAAAAAAAAGAAGAAGAAAGAAGAAGCAAAAGTGTCAAGGAATATTTGGGATTAGAATAGAAAATAAGCATGACAATAAGAACAATGACCCTGCAGATGAGTGAGTTAGGGAACTACATTATTAATCAGACAGAGGGAAGGTCAGGGGGAGAATGTGGGAGGAAACATTATTATGACACAAAACCTTCATCCCACAGTCGTCCTGTGGACCAAATGGAACGTATTCTCTTCAAAGAAAAATGACACTAAAATTAAGTAGGTAAATAATGGAAGTGCCTAGGCCTAAAAGCCCTGTTTGGTTTTCAACTGGGAAAAAAAAAGATTATGAAGAAAACCATTAAATCCTAGAAGCACCAATACAAAGCTGGAACACTATGACTGTTACTCACCGGTACTCTGCATTGGCAAATGTTTGTGTGGCGTATGTGAAGAATTGGCAATGGATATTATTGGTGCACCACTTCTGGCATTCTTCAACACTGTCTACCTTCGACACATTAAAATTGACTCCTCTCATATCAATTCCTTCATAAGTTTCTCGGTGGCAAGCTGTATGAAGACAATACAAGGAGCAAATTCAGTTAATTTCCTTTCTAGGGATGAGATCATCAAATACCACTGGTGCTCGGTAGTTGTAAAGGATAACATCTAATGTTTGCTAACTGCACTATTAATTAGAGGCTCAAAAATTTCTATGTCCCTACATTATCAAACTTGGCTTGAAATAAATGCAATCTGATTTTTTTTTCACCTAAGGCATTGAGTTCAAAAGGGTTACTTTCCTCTAGAGCCACAAAGTGCTGATAATTTCAGTGTGAGATTAACCATAATGCAGGTTAATCTCACACTGAAATTATCAATGGGTGGGAGGACATCAACAAGGCATGATGGACCCATTCTCATTCTTGCTTTACATTTTGTGCCTTTTTAATTACAACTTATCTTATATGCAAAAATGTAGGCAGTTTAACAAACAGTGACCCAAACTAAGCTTTTTATTAATACTCAAATTTGTTAGACTCTTGATTAAGAAGGCACTATAATCAGCAGTATAAACCATAATCTATTATATATAATTTTCCACTCCTAAGTATGGCTGAAGTCATAAAACTGAATTGAAGAGTGGGTAGGACATAAAATATACAAACTAGCAGGAGAACAATATACTGAGGTGAGCAACAGGGTGGATTATTCACAGTGGCTAATCACACAGGAAGTTGCAGATATAGAAATCTCTAATTTTGCAGTACATGAGGAAAAAAACAGGCTAAGAGTTGAAATGGGACACTTAACAAACAAAAAAGTTTTCTTTATGGTTATCTAAAAGTTACAAACCTACATGTTTTTGACCGAGTTTAGAGACCTTATGCATTTAAAGGAAATTTTTCACTTTAAATGTTTGGGGACAGAAAGGAATATTAAAATGAAGCTCAGTGGGTAAGACTAAGTTTTTGTTTAAGACTAAGTTTTGGAATAAATTAACAATAACTAAGGAGTATTGAGAAAGGCCCAGCACTACCTTCTTTTTAAATTTTACTAATTGCAAATAGCACTTAAATAAGGTGACCAGATTTTAACATTGGTAAAGCAGGAAACCATTGACGGGGGTAGGGGGTATTCTTAATTAAAAATTTGGTCTATATGGAGCAACAAAAATTTTCATAGAACGCAAAAATAGTATTGTAATATATAGCTTTTTAATTTCAACATAAGTACAATTTACAAATATAATACATTAAACAAAAATTATGTACAGGGAGGTGCCTGTGGCTCAAAGGAGTAGGGTGCTGGCCCTATATGCCGAAGGTGGCGGGTTCAAATGCAGCCCTGGCCAAAAAAAAAAAAATTATGTATAGTATTATTTTATTCTTTGGCATATTTCTCATTTGAGTGAATTTTTTTTAGTAGATTGCTGTCGTTGTTTAAAAGGTCACAAATTTTTTCACAAGTATTTGTTAAATTATATTTCACACATAAAATGGCTTTCAAAGTCTCAACATTTAATTGTGATTTTTTTGATGTCCACACTTTATTTACCATAGAGAAAAAATGCGTTCAGTCACAGTATTAGTTCCTGGCAAGGACAGCGCATATCCCATAATTTTTAGTGCATTATTGTATGGAACATGGTTTGTTTCTAAACATTTGTTCTCTATTGTGATTTTTGCTGATGCCCAAGAGTTAACCTTTTCTTTATCAATATATTTTTTTAATAATGATACCTTGTGAGTTGTAAGTGTCACTTTCAAGGCCGGTGCTAGACTTTTTGCCGCCCCTTTAAAATATAAATAATACAAGTACTGTCTGCTAAATTCATGAAATAAATAAATTACTTACCTAAATTATCTGAATAGCTGATTTGTTGACATCACTTATTTAACTAGCACTAGCATGCAGTACGATGTGTATGGTCTGAGAGACAGTTACAAAATGTTTTTGTGGTTACCAATGCCAAAAAATGCCATTGTTCATTAAATCCAAACAATGGTGGTCAAATTCTAACAACTGATCAACAATGCGAACTTTGATAAGCAGTTCTCGATAATCATTTCTCAACAATTATTTGTTATTATTAAAGTTTAACATTATAAAATTAACAAAAATAATATAAAACTCATATCCTGGCAAAATAGCCACATGGCAATGTTGGTTCCAACATTGCCGCTGAGAGACCACCACACATATGTAAAGACAAAAAGTGCTTTATTTTGCAAGCATATGCCTGGGCCACTCTTCTCTTCAGCGTGGCTGGAGGAAGGGTGACCCCCTAATGAAGCAGCTGAGGTTTTCAAAGCACATAGAGGAATTTCATTGGGTGTTTTGTTGGGCCGGGCTGCTATTGGCTGAGCTGTTTATGGTTAGGGACCCTCTAGAGAAGGGGGGGCTACTTGTTTGTTCCAGATAGTTTGGCTCCTTCTGAGCTAATTTTCTTTGCCTAGAAGTGAGGGAGGGAGCCAGTCTCCTTCTGATACCAATTCCACCTGGATGACCTTGCCCAGGAGGGGAGTAGGAAGTTTAAGTTAGCCTTTTCATTTCCAAATGAAGTTACATTAACCTCTTCATTCCCAAATGGAGTTACATTAACCTTTTCAGCAGCAGAAAATCATATATTCCATTCCGTTGTCCCGCCATTCCCTAGCTTGTCTTGCATTCTTTCCAAAAATCAGGACTTTTTAAAAACACCACAGGACGCAGGACAAATTGTTAAAAATTGGGACTGTCCCACCAAAAGCTGGACTTCTGGTCACCTTACACTTAAAGGATGAGTTTGTAGCAAAGTGTATTAATATATGAAGTTGATCTTAATAAAAAAGGAAATGTGGTCCCCCTCAGGTAAACTACACAGACTCCATATTTATCATAAAAAGCACTGCCACTTTGGATAACTAGTTAAAATACAAATAACAGACTCAGAGTGTATGTGTATTGAAGAGGTGGTATTTATGGGGGAGGGAAGGATGAATCATTTTAAAACACCTGAAATTCGAACCTACAAAATTAACCATACAATGCAAAGATAAAGCAGGGAAGATGTATTGTCACAGTGTGGTCATTAGGAGGATCCTGCCCATGTATCCCTTGAGAACATCTTCTTGGTACTCTCCAGTTTCCAATCAGTCCTGGTCATGTTAGAGAAATAGTTCATTTGTCTTGAATTCAGCAGAATGTGTTAGAAGCTGCTTTTCAGGACACTGGTAGCAATAGTTGTCAGAATTAAAGTTCTCCAACATCCTAGCCTTCACATTTCTTTTAACAAGTATTATTCTTAGCAAATTTACAGAATTCAGTTCTTCATTTGCACTTAATGGTGTATAACAGGGTTCCTTGGCCTCAGCAGCATGGACAGTTGGAGCCAGAAAATTCTTTATCATGGGCACAGTCCAGTGCCTCATGGTGGTTGAATAGCACCCCTGGCCTCTACTCACTGAATGCTAGTAGCGTCTGCCTAGTGTGACAACCAAATGTGTCTCCAGACACTGCCAAATGTCCTCTAAGGGAAAGGACAACATCACTCCTGGGAGAGAGTGATTCTGAAAACCACTATGTACACATTACCCCCAAGTGAACCTGGGAGAGAGATGTTCTCTGCATTTTCTGTAAGATTCTTATGTGGAATCAAGGAGAGGCTGCTGTTTGGAGGTGTACTCGCTGTCTGCAAATCTTACACTTAGTGCTAACCTCACAAGAGGCTTATTAAGTACATGCTGACTGATAAAGACAAAAACTGTCCAGATATTCAAATATGGTTCCCTCTTGTATGTTCAGCATACTTCTCTATTATGTTTTTTCTAAGTGCTCCCTTCCCAAAGTCCTTCACAGTATAGACATTGAACAAAAGTTGTTCTAAGGCAGATCCATAATTAACTCAAACTTATGAAGAAATCCACTTCTTACCACTTATTTGATGACCACATTGCTTTAAGGAATGTCCAGAAATTGCACTCATCAGATGCACTCTTGGCAGGACTCCTGTAATGCTATCTTTCAAGAAGCAACCAAACCTGTTTTTAAAAGTAGCTTCACTTAGGAAGGAGAATAGTAAACATACATTGAGGAAATGTCTAGCATTTTCTATACACTAATAAACAAAACCCAGAATAATAAGGAAAATGACACAGCTTCTCTGATACTTGCTGAAAAGAACATTCTTAGAGGTAATATTAGAATACCTAAGGCCTCCATAATAACTAACTTCAACATTGTTTATCTTTATACTCAACTTTTTTAAGTATAGGAAGTCAGTTATATTAAAGAGTTAATGATTTTTCTTGTGTTACTAAACTCTCAGGTAAGCTATGTTCCCAACTGGGGACTGTTTTTGCAAATATTTTCATTTACTTAAAAAATAAAATCAGTCATAGAAGTTGAATGTATACATCACAATTTTTGTGTTTTTGGAAACTCTATGAAACACATAGAGTTTCATCCAAAAAAGCTCAATTAATCAAAATCCAGCTCACCTACCGGGGCATGTCTCTTACCCCTGCATAAAAGGGGTAAGAGAGATGCCTTCTATGCAGGGGTAGGAGAGATGCCATCTTACCCCTCCCCACCTCCAAAATGGGTCTTCTATCCTTTGTGGACTTGGCTAACTTCCTCCGTCTGTGGATTCCCACCTTTGGCATTCTAGCTAAGCCAGTACATCTTGCATCCACTGGAGACCCTAATGAAACTCTCCTCCCTGAGCCCTCCCTTTATAAAAGTCAAGCGGACCATTGACTTCAAGCTTCATCCATTTTCCTTCCCAGTCCTCCAAGCCTTTCCCTACTATGTTGATAGCTGCCAGAGATTTGCCATTGGCATACTCAGTCAAACCAAAAGACCCAACCACCTTTCCACTCATACTTTTCCAAAGAAGTTTCCAACTAGATAAAACAGTTAAAGGATGGCCTTCTTGCCTCCACACCTTGGTGGTAGCTTTACTTTTAGTCCAGGAAAACTGCACATTCACTTTCACCCAGTTCTCTACATCTACACCTTCCATTAACTTCAGGTCTTGTTAACACACCAGGCAATACCAATCATTTCATCAACCTGTCTACAAGTCTTTCACACCACCCTTTTAGGAAGCCCAAATATCTTCCTACCTCTAAAAACCCAGCCACACTTCTGCCTCTCTCTGACACATCACCAACCACACCATCACCCAAGTCACAAGTGTGCAGACATTCTCATTTCTGACATGCCCTCCCTAACCTCCAAGACAACCACTTGGTGCACAGATGGCAGCTCCTCCAGAGTTTAATAGAGCAGAATATGGGATAGCCTCCTTCACATCTGTTATTGAATCTAGCCCCTTACTCCTGGGGACCACATCACAACAGGCTGAACTCATTGCCCTTATCTGTGCCTTAACATTGGCATGGGGACAAAACATCAACATATACACAGATTCCAAATATGCTTTCCATATCCTTCATTCTCATATACTTCTGTGGAAAGGATGTAGATTCCTTCCCACTCAGGGATCCCCTATTATCAATAAAACTCTTATTTTCAAGTTACTACAAGCCATTACTTTCCCTACCAACGTAGCAGTCTTACACTGCGCGGGACCTCAAAAGCTCACCTTTGACATTTCCAAGAGCAACCACAAAGCTGATGCCCTCTTCCTTTTCCCAAGCTATCTTGCCCCTTCTACCCACCCTGACACCACAATACTCCCCCCAAGAAAATAGCCACTTTAAAGAAAAAGGAGCCACCCTCCACAAAGGCTGGTACACTCTAAACAATATCAGGCTTTCTCAACAATTGGCAGTTTCCATCCAAGCCCTTGTCAATGAAATAATCCCCCATGTCCGTCTCCCCATCACTCTGCAGTCAGGTAACATGGGGAGTCTCTCCAGGCCTTGTCATACGATGGACCTTCCATTCATCCTACTAACTCCAGCCTTGGAGAGGGCAGAAAAAAATGAACAGACTCATTAAAACACACCTCACTGGCCTCCCGATGGAAACACAGCACACCTGGATAGACCTCCTCCCTACGCCTGAATGCGGCATTAGCCCAAGAAAACCCCACTCCCTCAGCACCTTGAGCTGATGTGCGGCCATCCATCCTGGGAGACTTTCCTACAGTCCTGCCCCTCTGGGGAACAACATCCCTGGCCTGTCCTGTCTCGTTGCCTAAACCAGCTTCCCCCTTTAAGAAGGTACTCCTCCAGCCGGGTGATTGGGTGTACCTCAACATCCTCCGATCTAAACCCCTATCTTCGAGACAAGACAGCCCCTTCTTTGTTCCACTCACCACTCCCACAGCAGCCAGGTTACAGAGAATCAATCCATGGATACGCTTTCCAGACATAAAAGGCACCAGAAGAGGCAACCAACCAAGAGTGGAAACCTACCCTTCTTGCCTCGAGTCACATTCGCTTACTCCGGGTCTTACAAAAGGAAGAAGTTAATTCCGACAAGTCCCAAGCTGTGAGTCTAAACCAAACTCACAGCTGTGAGTCTGAGTCATAAACCAACTCCACAGGAGTCTCATTCCCTCTCCAGGACGGCCTGAAGATCTAATCTTACCTATAATTACCCCAACCCTACCCCGACAGTGGAAGAGTTTCTCACATTTCTTTGAGATCTTTACCTCCAGGCCTAAGAGACTTTGGTTCTCTAGGTTTGGGGTGTAGCCCAAGAGTCTGCATTTTTTAAGAACCACTCCGGGGATTCTGATGCAGGGAGGCCTTGAACCCCCTTCAAGGGACAACCCTGAGATAGGCGATGCCCTTTCTACACCCAACTGATCCCACCTTGAAAAATAACTGACTTTTTCAATAATGAAATGCCAACTTTTACCTTTTCCCTGTGTTGTTAGTTGAACTCGCTGGCAGATAACTGAAAAGCAAACACTTGGGGTGGAGCGTGCACACCGTCCGACAGTGTAGGGCGTTTGGGGTGTATATGGCAGTCAAATCCCCACCGCGGAAGAAGGTGTTTTGATACAGTTGAGTCAGACATCCTATGATATAATCATAAAAAATTGATTTGGAATAAATGCCAATAATTTTAATAGAAATATGTCTGTGTTCTTAACCACTTTATCTCTTCCACTGACTGCCCAAAAATCTTTATTACAGAAGCAGAATGAAATATATTAAGGCTACTATTTGCACAGTGATATTTGAAATCATTCAAAACACTATCATAACAAACATTTCAAACACTAATCCCTTAGGGAAACTAGACACAGGCTTTATTATCTGCATCTGATGTTTTTTCTTTTAAGAAAAAAGTCGCAGGGCACAAATACTTGCTCAAAATCCAAATAACTAATTAGTGTCCTGGGACTTAAATCCAGCCCATCTGACTCCCAATTTTATCTCTTTTTCTAGCCAGCAATGTTAAATATTGCTCTACATCTTAGTTTAATTCAAGAAAACTGATAGTTAGTAAATGTTTATTTTTTACGTGCTCAGTTTTTAGATAGTTTAAACAAATGCATGCATATGCTACATGTAAAATAACCTTTGAACAATTTGCTGTTTGGAATTAATCACAGCTCTAATCACCCTGCACTCCTATAGGAGACACCTGTGAGAAATACCTTGGTGACAAGGGACTGGGAAAGGGACTTAACCTCATTTAACATCATTGGTCTCTTGTTAAGGAGCATGAGAGCACGTGAGAGCATGTGACAAGAACACGGACATCACTGCATGGCAGTGTCCACACCTGTGCTGGATTACTTCTATAAATAACCTCAGGTGCAGCTGCTGGGGAACATATACAAGCTAAGACTGACAGCCCACTGCCAAGACTGCTGCTGAGATGCTCGCTCCTACTAATATTGACTGTGACCTCTAAAGTGCTTTGGCATCCAAGACCTGAATGAGATCGAGCCTGAGATAGCTGGCACAGCGGTCCAACTCCAGGCTGTTTCATGGGCTGGGGCTGGAGACCTACCATCCAGCTCCAGAGAGGCCCTGGTTCTGGGCCAGAGACCCAACGTCCCCAGGCTCAGAGAAGTGTCGACCACAAAGGGACCCAACACACTCCACATGTAATTAGAGAATTAAATGTCTTACTGGCTTTAAAATATGAATTTGGATCTTGAAAGACCACTTCAAAGTGTGCTTCCTTAACACATTCATTTCGGTGAGTCTCTTGTCCATTACCTATGTTATAGGCCATTGGCAACCTTGTCTATTTCTCAGGAGAGAAGTGACTCTTCAATTTAAATAGTGTTTATTTTTTTCTCACTATGGCATCACAGCTCACAGCAGCCTCAAACTCTTGGCCTTAAGCTATTCTCTTGCCTCAGCCTCCCAAGTAGCTGGGACTACAGGCACCTGCCACAATGCTGGCTATTTTGTTGTTGTTGCAGTTGTCATTGTTCTCTGGCAGGCCCAGGTGGGGTTTGAACCCACCAAGCCCAGTGTATGTGGTCAGCGCCCTAACCACTGAGCTACAGGTGCCAAGCCTGAATGGTGTTTATTTTTAGCCAGCTTAGTGGCTCAGGCCTGTAATCCTAGCACCTTGGGGAGCTGAGCCAGGTGGATTGCTTAAGTTCAGGAGTTCAACACCAGCCTGAACAAGAGCAAGAATTTGTCTCTACTAAAAATAGAAACAAAAACCCAGTGGGCATGGTGGTAGGCACCTGTAGTCCCAGCTACTCAGGAGGCTGAGGCAAGAAGATCACTTGATCCCAGGAGTTTGAGGATGCTGTAAACTACGACACTGTGATCCTCAACCCAGGGTGACCGAGTGAGACTCTATTCCCCCCCCCCCAAAAAAAAATAGTGTCTATTTTTGTATTGCCTTCCAGGGAATGGAAAAAGTCAGACAATATGCATTCATTGAGCACTGAAGATTCACATTTTTTTGCACTTTCCTGCCCCTCGGGGGATTCTGGCTCTGGTCCCAGGTGTGATGATTTAACCCAGCAAGGTTGCTTCTCTCAGAGGTGTGGCCAGGGTGACTACCTCTTGGTTAAGGTTTATATATTTGGAAAGGGCACATATCTCTCCAGGTGAAAGCTCCTGGGAGTACAAGTGTACTGCCTAGATTTCATATACACATAAAACACCAAGTGTTGGTCCAATAACAATGCCACCTAAAAAAGGTCTATATTTTAGACAGTATTTTGGGCTGATTCCTAGTTATCAAGCTATGCTATCCATGCCTCCATCCCCGTGTACATACAAAGGTACGAACAATGGCTTGTGCCAGCCTGGGAGTACCCCTCCTGCAGTTGAGTATTTGTGACCTGCCACGTGACTCAGCCACTGAAAGAGAATAACTAGGAATATGCCAACTTCAGAGCTGATGGAAAGAAACTTCTAGCAGTTGTTCTTGCTTATTCTGACAAGTTGGTTAGGATGGTGACAATGAGGATGACAACCTCATTTGTATTGTATTTTAAAGTGTATGTAAGACCCCATTACTCAGTTATCTAGTAAGTCATAGCTTTCTCATGGGCCCCCATGTCCCATGTCATGGACAGTAGATAGGTTATTCTTTCTTGTTAGAAAATCACATCTGGCTAGGTGCCTGTGGCTCAAGTAGCTAAGGCGCCAGCCACATACACCTAAGCTGGTGGGTTTGAATCCAGCCCGGGCCTGCCAAACAACAATGACGACTGCAACCAAAAAATAGCCAGGCGTTGTGGTAGGTGCCTGTGGTCCCAGCTACTTGGGAGGCTGAGGCAGGAGACTCGCTTGAGCCCAGGAGTTGGAGGTTGCTGTGAGCTCTGATGCCACAGCACTCTACCCAGGGTGACAGCTTGAGGCTCTGTCTCAAAAAAAAAAAAGAGAAAAGAAAATAAAATCACATCATCAATAAGGAGAAGAAAAACATTTTCGGTTTTAAAAATCAGGTGACAGATGTGAAAAGGTAATTTTCAAAAGAAACACAAGTGACTAGTTAAGCACATGAAAAATTGTAAGAGTCACAAATACAGGCAAGTTAAAATAGCAAGATGCCTGCCAGGCATGGTGGCTCTTGCATGTAATCCCAGCATTTGGAGAAGCTGAGCTGGCAGGATCTTGTGAGTCCAAGAGTTTGAGACTAGCCTGAGCAAGAGCAAGGCCCCATCTCTACTAAAAATAGAAAAACTAGCTGGGTCTGGTGGTAGGCACCTGTAGTCCCAGCTACTTGGGAGACTGAGGCAGGCAGATTGCTCAAGCCTAAAAGTTTGCAGTTGCAGGCAGTGCCTGTGGCTTAAGGAGTAGGGCATCGGCCCCCTATGCCGGAGGTGGCAGGTTCAAACCCAGCCCCGGCCAATATCTGCAAAAAAAAAAAAAAAAAAGTTTGCAGTTGCTGTGAGCTATGATGATGCCATAGCACTCTAGCCAGGGCAACGGAGTGAAACTCTGTCCCCCCCAAAAAACAAAACACGACGTCATTGTAGCCACAGGATTAGCAAAACTTAAAAATTACATGAGCAGAGTTTGTGTACTGGTTTAGACAGTGATCGGAAACCTAGTTCAAGGGAGGAGGATGGGTAGGGTCAATGCACACATAACTCTTGCAATGCACATATTCGAGGTGGACACACTAGCAACTTTGACTTAAAATGTACAAAAACAAATTATGTAACTAAAATGTGTGTACCCCTATAATATTCTGAAACTTAAAAAAAAGAAGGAAAACCTCGTTCAAAATGGCTTGAGTGCAAATGAAATTTACTGGTTCAGAACCTGAGAAGTCCACGGTGAATCTGGCTTCAGGAATACTTGGACATTGTATTCAATTGTTGGCATCAGTAGGCAATTTGTCTCCATCCATTTGTTCAGGGCCATGGTGTTGCTATTGGTTTCAAGCTCCCCAGAGTGAAAAGGTAGTACCTGCAGCTCTGGTCTCTGTATTTGCTTTTTATTTCAAATCATTGGGTACGGGAGTGGCCTATTTCCAGAGATTTAAGCAAAAGCCTTGTTCCAAGATTTTGCCTCTGACGGGGCCACTGCATCTAGCTGGATATATGTGCTTCCTGGGTCAGGCCTGCCTGGGTCATTTGCCCCAGTCCTGGTGTCCGCAGTAGAAGCAGAGTTCCCAGAATCACATTGACAGAAGCTGGGAGGCAGCAGCTCCCCAGAAATGAATTAGGATACTGTTTACGCCAGGCCACAGAATTCCAAGTGCCTATTCAAGTTGACCTAAGTGGGGGAATGAGCACTTTCCTAAGCTGGTGGAAAAACTCAACCAGGGAGCAAGCTTTTTGAAAGATAATTTCGTGATGCATGTTATAGAATCTTCAAAATTTTTCACACCTTTGTATCTAGGATTTTTATTTCTAAAAATGTATTCTACAGAAATGACTGAGTATGTGTGTAAGAACGTGCGTACAAGACACCACAAAAAGGGAAGACTCCCAAGCTCCAAAAAACATGGTATGTGTGTGGGATTTTGCCTTAAAAGAGAGCTGTAAATGGGAAATACGCAAGAAAGAGTATCTGCAATTAATATATGTAAATGGTTTATGCAGAAAAATGTCTGAAAGATTAAACAAAAGAGTTTTAACAATGTCTATTTCTGCATTGGGGGGCTATAAGCCGAATGTAGTTTCTAATTTTCTTTTTTTTTTTTTTTGCAGTTTTTGCAGTGTTTTAACTTGACACATCTATACAATTGGCATTTCATGGCGAGACCCAGAGTGAGCCAACCCTCTTGTTATCAACAACAAGGATCTTTCTTTCTTTCTTTTTTTGCAGTTTTTGGCCACAGCAGGTTTGAACCCACCACCTCCGGTATATGGGGCCAGCGCCCCACTCTTTGAGCCACAGGCACCACCCAGTTTCTAATTTTCTGTTTATTTACACCTCCCGTTTTTCTAGCACAATCATAATTTTTCTTTTCTTTGCCAAAAACATAAAGCTTGTCCATAGTATTTCTGTTTAAACTCATTCCTAGGAGTCAGTGGATTTGCACACACTGAGATTGTGTGACCCTGAAAAACAATTAGGATTGAGGGGCAAGATGAAAGGGAACTGTGATTTGGGGGGGGGAAAGCTTTTTCTTGAAAAAATTACAATATAAACTTCACCCACAGCTGTTTATCTTTGCCATCCATCTGAGAAGTAGGGAAATGCTCACTATGGTGTGCCCCTATTTTTTTTTTTTTTGAGATAGAGCCTCACTCTGTCCCCCTGGGTAGAGTGCTATGGCATCATAGCTCACAGCAACCTCAAACTACTGGGCTAAGCAATCCTCTTACATCAGCCTCTCAAGTAGCTGGGACTACAGGTGCCTGCCACCATGCCCAGCTAGTTTTTCTATTTTTAGTAAGGAGTCTTGCTCTTGCTCAGGCTGATTTTGAATTGCCTGGCTCAAGAAATCCTCCTGCCTCGCTTCCCCACCCCCCACCCCAGAGCACCGGGATTACAGGTGTGAGCCACCGTGCCCAACTATGGTGTGTGCATCTTAAATCACCAAGAATCAGAATTGTGACACTAAGAACTCTGCGTTACAATGATGAATGAAAAACAGTGTCCTGTATCATCCTTATTCTGTGAAAAGTAATGGAATGGATTATAGAAAGAAATAAGGTTAAAACCTGGTGTTAAAAACTATTCTTCTAACTATTCAAACGGGTGGTTTACAGAGTTAAATTTAAACGAGCTACTTTCCTTTGGGAAACGGTTCCCAAGTGGCCTAGAATATACATTCCTGTCAGGTATTTGCATTGGACCCAGGCACTATAAAATGTCTAGCATTCTTTTGAATGTTCATGGAAAGTTTATTTTTTTAAATGTTGAGAATAAAAATAGAGGCTAATGTCTTTGTTATGAAATCTGCTTTGTGGAGCGCCATCCCCGCAGAGAGGTTTCTGTTAACACCTCCCTAAGACACTCCCACTCCCCAGCACCTCCGCTTGGTCTGCAATGTGTGTCTCGGGCAATATTCTGGAAAGAGATGCTCGCCCCCCGACATTGGAGGGACGCTGGACATCAGTTATTAGGGGCCGTCTGCGTCCCTGAGGCTGTGTGTCCAACAGCACTCTCCAGGGGGGGGTCTGTCTGGCTTCCCTCCTCCTCCCTCACGCATCCTTATTTCTACGTTTTGTAGAGAAGTCACTTACCACAGGAAACCGTACTAAACAAAGCCATGAGGTAAGCTGTTTGCCCAAATGAGATCATCCTAAAAAAGGAAACAACACATCAATTCGGCATATATTTAATATGAACCTTAATTAGAGATGATGTATCATCTTGCAAATGTGTGAGTTGCAAATCATAACAAGCAGTTCATAAGTATAGAGAACAGGGTGGCGCCTGTGGCTCAGAAGAGGAGGGTGCCGGCCCCATATGCCGGAGGTGGTGGGTTCAAACCCAGCCCTGGCCAAAAACTGCAAAAAAAAAAAGTATAGAGAGCAGAGTCTCTGTGTATTTTGTGTTCAGAGTCTTGAACAAGGTAAAATGCTTTCCAAGACACAAACGGAGACCTCCAGACTAAGACTGTGTTTATTACTGACTTGCCACCTCTGTTGCTGGTATTTTGGGAAAGGAATCGGTAGAGAGAAATTCAAGAGTTAAACAACCTCTTGAGCTGAGCCATAAGCAAAGTATCATAAAGCACGGCAATATACTCATCCCAAATTCCTAAGGAACAAGAAACTCAGAAAATACTAAATCCAGTCTTTAAATTTCAAAACAGTCAGGTATTAGCTTTGATTTTTAATATTTCCTCATATCATAACTATTAATTCCTTCGAGACTCTCTAAATACTCAGGAAATTGGGTTATAAATTGAGAGTTTCTTTAGAAAGTAAAAATTATAGTTAAAAAGCCCCCACTTTATTCAGAAGCAACCAAAAAGAGAAATTTGCTACCTGAAAGTGAAATTGCTTTTGTGGAGATGAGGAATTCTCTCGTCTCTTAAAAACGAACGGTCTGCGAGCTGCACGAAGGTGGCATTTCAGGCAATATTTACTCGGCTCTCCTGTTGACTTTGGGCTTCTGCCAATGTTTCAGCTTTTTGTCCTGTCAACATATTCCATGAACACCCTATTCCCGTGTTCAGCGATTAACTATATTAACTATTTCAGGGAATGGGGTCAGCAAGATGGCAGAATAGGACCTTCCAGTTCTTGTCCCCGTGTAGAAGCATCCACCGATTTTAACAACTACCTATGCACAAAAATAACCTCCCGAGGGCTGAGGAATCCATTTGAGAGGTCACAGTACCTGGCTTCAGTACAGAAATAAGATATTTTGAAGAGCACAGAAGGGGCAGTTTCATGTCACCAGTGTCACCCATCCCCAAGCCTGGGCAGTACAGCAAGGAGAGAGATACACAAAAAAGAAAGAGAAAGAAATCAAAGTCTATCACTACCAAGGAGGCAGCAAGGAAGACAAAATAGGGCACAACAGCCGCCAACAAAAGGCTGCTTTCTACTCTGTGCTGTATAAAAGCATTGAAATATTAGATCTCATCTGCTACCAGGCTGAAAAGAAAAAACAAGCTGGTTGTATGAACTAAAATAAAATCTTAAGGTGACTGACTGCCTGGACCCCCTCTTGCCTAGGTGGATCCCTAAAACTGAGTTGCTAGCCATGAGAAGGAGACCAGACAGGCCTCATCATGCCCCCTTCGATCTTGTAGGTGTCCTTTGTGACTCACTAGCAGGCCTACGGCTCTGCAAGACACTCCTCCAGGTCCTCAGCACACACAACAAACCCCTTGAGTCTAATTATTAACAGACCCTTTATCTTAAGCATCCTTTCACTGACTCCTGGTCTTTTAGACAGAGCCCATCTCTTTCAGCCAATTGTCAGCTAAAGAATCTTTAAACTCACCTATTGCCTATAAACTCCCACTTCCAAATGTCCCACCTTTTGGGGCCAAACCAATGTTATGTTTTCCACATATTGAATATGACCTCACCTGTAACCCCTAACTCCCTAAAACGTATAAAGCCAAACTGTCACCCTACCATCTCGAGTCCGCGTGCTGAAGGCTTCTTGGGTGTGGCTCCAGGTCAGGGTCCTCCAGTGTGGCTCAGACTAAACCACCTTAGATTATTTTACATAGAATAACTTCTTTTCCACCAACAGTTGGGAAAGGTACCCTCCCTTCAAATCACACCAGACACTCTCAAAGGTTGTTTCCTTAAAAGGCGAGATTACAGATTTTAACCTGTGTAAATATATTCTATGTTTAGCTTGACTTTTTCTTAACAATGAAGTATCAAATTAGATTCCAGTAATACAATAAAAATAAAAATTTCTTGGTAGATCCAGGAGGACCAAAAAAAGAGGCAGTGATGGGCAGAATTCTAACGTGTTCTCCCAAATTTCTATAATCCCAGGGATTGTGAATACAATGAGATATCACGTCTGTCCAATTATATTCCCTGGCAAAAGCAATTTTGCAGATGCACTCAGGATTACTAAACAGTTGACTTGGAGCTAGTCAAAATGGAGATGATTGGATGGCCCTAATCTCATCACACCAGCTCTTTAAGAGCAAGAGTTTTCTTCTGCTGTCAGCATGTGGAGGAGTCAGAGAGATGCCAGGTGGGAGAGAGAGTTGACAGCTGGGAAGCTCTCTGGGGCTGGCTTTGAGAGGGAGGGGCCCTCAGGACAAGGATCTAAAAGTGATGGCCCAGCTAAGAGCCACAAAGGAAATGAAGACTTCATTTCCACAACCACAAGAAACCAAATACTCCAACAATTATATGCTGTTGCTCTCGGGCTCAAGCCCTCTCCACTTACTCTCTTTCTTTCTTTCTTTCTTTTTTTTTTTTTTTGAGACAGGGTCTCACTATGTCACCCTGGGTATAGTGCTGTGGCATCACAGCTCACAGCAACCTCAAACTTTTGGGCTTAAGCGATTCTCTTGCTGGGGCCACAGGTAACACAATGCCAGGCTCTTTTTTGTTTAGTTGCCATTGTTGTTTGGCAGGCCTGGGCTGGATTCGAACCCGCCAGCTCTGGTGTATGTGGCTAACGCCCTAGCTGCTGAGCTACAGGCGCTAAGCCCATTTACCCTCTACCTAGAATGCTTTTGTCCCCCAGACTTCGGCTGGGGAGCCAGTACTTAGTTAGCCCATCTACAAAGGCATTTGCCATCATTCCTCTTTTTTTTTTTTTTTTGAGACAGAGCCTCAAGCTGTCACCCTGGGTAGAGTGCCCTGGCATCAAAGCTCACAGCAAGCTCCAACTCCTGGGCTCAAGCAATTCTCCTGCCTCTGCCTCACAAGTAGCTGGGACCCCAGACACCCACCACAATGCCCAGCTATTTTTTTGGTTGCAGCCGTCATCATTGTTTTTGGCGGGCTCAGGCTGGATTCAAACCCGCCACCTTAAGTTTATGTGGCTGGCGTCCTAGCCACTTGAGCCACAGGCACCGAGCCCATCGTTCCTCTTTACCATGGTTTTTCTTTGTAACTCTTTTCACTACCTGCCATATGTCACCTTCTGATGCCCACCGTCTTTAACACCTTGCTGGTAGAACTCAGTCTGTTTGCTTTCTTTCCTTAGAGACTTGACTGCCTTTAGCACTCAGCAGACATGTATTTAATGAACCAGTAAAATGATGAGTAAATAAGTAAATAAGTAAGGAATTGAACATTCTTTAAAGACCACAGATTGAGGATAGAAATGTTGTTTTATCCCAGTTGGGGACCATCTCATTCACACAACAGTGTCACAGTCATACTTGTCAATGATTGGCTGCTGGTTCTTAAGTGACACTGAAGATGATTATTGGACTAATCCTGATAGAGGCTGAATGCTTTCTGGCGGGAGCAGGTGTCCTGCTGGGGGCCTATGCATTGCATCAATATGAGACAGTGCAGTCCTGGGCTTTCGAAAGCAGCATTGCTTTAGGTAGTGGCAAACCAACGTTGTTTGCAACGTCAGGTACTATGGATGGTTGTTACAATTAGTTACAGTACAGAAAGCTTAAAAGATTGAAATAGTCCTGGGAAGATGTGGCCATATGAAAAATTTAATTGTGCCTGAATGATTTAAATGTCTTAATTCACTGTATTCTCATAAGCACAAAACTTAAAACTCTGATTAACTCCAGCCAGAAAAGAGGCAGAGCCCATCGGTAAGAAAAAAAAAGCTAACCTCTTTCGTAGGAATGCCCAGTGGACCCTCCTGTGCCTACGTACTCTTTACCATTCAGCTAACACATGCATTTTAAGACAATATATGGGATTTCAAAGTAAATTTAAAACACTCTAGAAATAAGATAACCAAGGTGATAATTTTCCTTCCTAATAAGAGCTATACTGTTTACATGTCCCTCATTGAACAAAAGAAGATATCACAACATTTTTATATAGGAATCTCAGGTTTATTTCAGTATAGCCTTTATTTCTATGAAACATAAGTTCGTTAATATCAGAAAAGGCACGGATCAATACAGGTAAACCCCAACAAAAAAGAAAACAATGGGTAAAAAGGAGAGATAATGATCGAAGAAGAAACTGCCAAAATTGTCTCTGCTAAGATGAAAAAAAAAAAAAAAACAGATAAACAGCTTGGAATTTATGTCAACCCTCGCCACTGGGCAGCATGTTAAGGGTATGCAGCACCCGCTAGGTGAAGGGCTCAACTACAACCTGGACTTTACCTAACAAATGCAATCAATGAAACCTGATCATTTGTGCCCTCTTATGAATCTGGAAAAAAAAAAAAAACAGAAATTGAATTTAGCCCAAAGAAATAACCAGTTGATAAATTTCTGGACTGAAAAGAGAATGCAACCAGTCCATTGTTAGAAATTACAGATGAGAGATTCATCCCTAAAATTTGGAATACAGCAAGCCCAGAAGGAATACCAGAATGAATCCAGTTTAATTAGGGAAGGACAAAAATGACTAATTAGTGTTGGGACTGGTCACAGACCTGAGTTCCATAAAGCAAGCGCATTATTGTGGAAGAACGCATATCAGAACAGGAATGGAGAGATTCACAGTTTCAGCCCTGTCGCCACCTAGTAACATGACTTTGGGCAGAAATTCACCTTCTTCTTGGTTCAATTCCTTTACTCCTATTATAAGGAAGCATAACTAGGTAAATTCAAAGGTCCTTCTAGCCCCCAGAGCTAATGATCAAAACCTATGAGGCACTTGAGGGGTTGAGGGTTACCAAGCAGAATCTCTTCCAATAATACGTGACATATAAAGACAACTGTGAGTCTACAAAGGATGAAATGAAAGCCATAAGCAAATAGTCAACAGGGAAACTGCAACGGAACCGATGAGTCCGCTCATAAATGATAAAATCTGAAAAGTTATATCATACTCTTCTCATAACTGATGCCACTGATATATCTAAAAAATTTAAACCCTTAAGTCAAAGTGTTTAATTACTATTTTCAAATTATATGAAATTATACATCATATATACCCACATATCTATCTTTTCCTGAGTCAACAAGAATGCTTTTAAAAAAATTTGAAGCTTCAATCAGATTGTATCCTTTGGGACTAGAAAGTGAAGTTGAATTGGTCTGTGGCTCCCTCTGTTGAGAAACCTGTTATGTGTTTATTTGGGTACTAACTCAGTGAACTTCATCTACTTTGGGGACCAAGACCAGGTGTAACGTCTATATGATGGTGGTAAAAATACAAAAACTTTCTCTTTGGTAGACTTAACCCCAAGGTCAGTGGGGACAAGAGAAAATGAGGCTCAGGGATTTAAGAACATTGAATTCATGATCTACAGATTGCAAATGCCAAGTATCTCTTAAGCAAAGATCTTTTTCATGATAAAGGCACAGTCCTGTAACGGAATTAGGAGTCGTCTGCGTTTCTCCTCTTCAGCTTGATCCAGATGCCGTTACACGGACGAAGAATCAACTCTCCTGCCAGACCAAGTTCTTCTCTTTTCTGGTTGGATTCTACCCAAAAGTGCCGTAGGACGCAGGACAGGATGGTCTTTTCTTCCATGATGGCAAACTTTTGACCTTTAAATTAAAGTAAATGGCATCACTTTAATTATAGATTTACCTCAAATTTGAGAAATAAGATGTTAGGAAATTAACAAGTCTCTATTTTCACAGTAGGCTATTTGTAGGATGGGATTCATTGAGACGCTTGTTAAAAATAAGGACTGCCACCTGGTGCATCCTAGCAGCTGGGTGGGCCAGGGAATCTGCATGTTAGCCAGGCTAAATACAGAGTCCTGGACTCATTCAAGTCTGAGAACAGTTATTCTAGTTTGCTTCTTATTGGATCTTTAATTTACTCAAAAGTCACCAAATAAGCTTCAAATTCATCTATTTAAATCTGGGCTCATTTCACCAATGTCAGCATTTACATAATTGATAAAATGCTATAGATAGACACTAGAACCGAAAGTGTTTATAATGCATGGTGGTGTGCACTCCTTTTGTGTAAGTACTCCGGGCCGTGTGTGTTTGGTTTGTGAAAAATGCAATTTTTAAAAGCAACAAACACAAATATTAGGTTAAACATAACTAATTACATAAATAAGTTTTCAACCATAACAAATTATATTTCGTTTTAATCTAAAATAGACGACATTTTAAAAGTCTACTGTGAAACTGACGCTGCTTTCTGTTATGGGATGAATTGTATCTCTCAACCCTCCGCTGCTAAATTTCCTATGTCGATGTCCTGACCCTCAGTCCCTCAGGATGTGACTGTGTTCAGTGAGTTTTCAACTGGTGTGCTGTGAAAATTTTTGAAGATTGTTAATGAAATTATTTTTGAACAAAGTTCAAAGATCAGCAAGTATATTCCCTTTTACACGCTCTCTTTTTTTCTTTGAGACAGTCTCACTTTGTTGCTCTAGGTAGAGTGCCATGGTGTCATAGCTCACAGCAACCTCAAACACTTGGGCTTGAGTGATCCTCTTGCCCCAGCCTCCCACGTAGCTGTGACTATAGACGCCCATCACTAAGCCTGGATAGTTTTCCTATTTTTAGTAGAGACAGGGTCTTGCTGTTGCTCAGGCTGCTTTTAAATTCCTGAGCTCAAGTGATCCTCCCACCTTGGCCTCTCAGAGCGCTGGGATTACAGGTGTGAGCCACCTCACCTGGCCCACTGTTTGTTTTTTTGATCAACATAATTTAAGTGTGTTGTGGGAGTTTAACTACAGGTTCAAGTGTGCCATGAAATAAAAGAGGATAAAAACACTGCTGTATTTGGAGATAGGACCTTTAAAGAGGTCATGAAGCTTAAATAAGGTCATTAGGTCATTAGGGAGGGATCTAATATAATCCAACCGGAGAAGTTAGGACAGACACATACCGAGGACAGACCAAGTGAAGAGACAGGGAGACGATGTCTTTCTACAAGCCTAGGAGTAGAGGCCTCCTAAGAAATCCACCCTGCTGACACCCTGATCTTGGACATCCTGGCAACGGAAAATAAACTTTTGTTGCTTAAGCCCCTCAATCTGTGGTTCTTAGTTACGGCAGCCTTTGGCAAACGAATGCCCTTTCTGACAATAGTATATTAAAACTGCAGTTCACAGGAAAGTAGAGGAAAAAGGAAACCAATTTTTGAAAGGTCATTGTGTGTGGGCGATGTCACAGAAATGATGATGAGAAACCCACTGTCACGTGGGCCTACGTGGGCAAACCCAGCTGGACAGATACAAACCTATACAGTTCCTGGGCCCCGCAGAGAAGGGCACATAGGCGTACGGATGGCGTCCTTGGGCATTCTCGGGAAAGAAGCGCTCCGGCTGGAATTCTTCAGGATTGGGGAAGTATCTGGGGTCTCTGTGCAATGCGTAGGGAATGATGATGACTTCGGTGCCTTTTAGAACTTTGTAACCCGCTGTGAAGAAGCAGGCGAGGGTGTGTCAGGATTTGGAACCAGACGGACGTTAAGAAAACTTCACTGTCCCTACAATTTTAATTATAGAATATTTACCCACTGTGCAGTCTTCATTAAGAGTCCGGGCAAACAGAGGAACAGAAGGGAAAAGGCGAAGGGTCTCCTTAATGACACATTCCAGGTATTTCAGTTTCTTCAGGTCTTCTGAGGTAGCAGGACGATCAGACTTCCCTGATTAAGGCAAGAAGATGACAATGACAGAAGTCTCTGAGCAGCAGAGACAGCAAAGAAGAGAATATGAATCAAAGCACTGATGCTAAAATCTGGCAGCTAACGTAGAACATCTAATGTTGTGATAGTCAAAGTAAAGTGCGATACCATGGAGGCCTGGTGTGGTGGCTCATCCCTGTAATCCTAACACTCTGGGGGTGGGGGGAGGCCAGGGCAGGAGGATTGCCTGACCAGCCGGAGCAAGAGCAAGACCCCATCTTGACTAAAAATAGAAAAACTAGCCAGGCACTGTGGTGGGTGCCTGTAGTCCCGGCTATTCGGGAGGCTGAGGCAGGAGGGTCGCTTGAGCCCCAGAGTTTGAGGTTGCCATGAGATGTGAAGCCACGGCACTCTTCCCAGAGTGAGACTCTGTCTCAAAGCAACAAAAGAAAAAAAGAAAAGAAAACCCAGAAAACAAAAGCCAAGATAGTGGAGATGAGAGAAGGTAACAGCAAGACTGGGACGCTGAGCCACCCCTGTGGACATCAGCCTAGGACTCTTCCAGGTTGCTTCTGATATAGTGAAAATTTATCTCCTATCAGCAGAACACATCTTTTCCCTCCTTCGTGGCCAGAAGGGGTCCTACAGGAAATAGCCTTCCTTCACCCCCAGATAGCTCTACCTATTACTCTGTGCTCCCAAATAGCATCTTCTTCACCCACTCACATGCACAGCCCATGACTCTACAGTGCTTTCTGTGTCTGCTCCCCTCAGGGCAGACCCTGAGGACGGTAATGGCATCCTGTGAGTCCCAGCATCTGGCCCATGCAGGGGAGGTGACTGGCGACTGTCTGCAAGTGCTTGGATAAGGGACTGCAAAGGGGATGGGCACTGGGGAGGCCTCTGTACGGGAGCAAAGGATCCTGCACACGGAGCCCTCCTGCTCGTACACTGGGTTTACAGCGGGTCCCACTGCTCTGCCTCCCTGAGCAAGAATGACACCGGCTTCCGTGCACTTAACACCTGCAGTATAACCAGCCAAGAGGCCAGACATACCGAACACTTCATCCAGCTCATTGTCCACTTTTTTCTGGACTTCTGGGTTACAGCCCAATAGGTATAGGGCCCAGGTTATTGCAGCTGCGGTTGTATCGTGGCCCTACAATTGGAAGGAAAATGGCGGCTTAAAAGGCGGAGTTATGGACAATCCTTAAAGAACACAAACCTTCCACTTAATCCCGCAATCCCATTACCAGGGATCTACTTAGAAGGAAAACAGTTTTATCGGAAGTACATTTAGATTGTCTAAAATTACAATCGCTAAGATGTGGAAGCAACCCAAATGTCCACAACCCAGGAATGAATTAACAAACTGGGGTATATGTACACCATGGAATACTATTCATCCATAAAATGATGGAGACTTTACATCTTTTGTATTAACCTGGATGGAGTTGAAACACATTCTTCTTAGTAAAGTATCACAAGAATGGAAAAGCAAGCATCCAATGTACCCAAGTCTAATATGAAGCCAGTAGATGATCTAATATACGCCCACACAGGAGAAAAACTCCATTCAATTCGAGTTAGGGGGAAGGAAGAAGAGGGAGGGGCATGGGTGAGCTCCCACCTAATGGGCACGATGTCAGGGTACATGGCACACCCCCTGGGTGTGGGACACAATGACAAAAGGGACTCTACTTAACAAATGAAAGCATTGTAACCTAATTGTTTGTACCCTCGCCTTAACCTGAAATAAAAAAGGCAGAATTATATTGAGAAGATTAGAAACTATAATAACTCAACTTTGAAATGTCAGTTCACTGGTATTTGACAGCTGCAGTGAGACTGCAGAACACAATACATTAATTCTGTACAGCACCTTGTCTCTGTGAGAAACCAGCAAAACAGTCCCCGGAACGTAGAAGTCCATGTTTCCAGATGACCTTTCAATGTCACATGATGTGGCACCCCTTGCAGGACGTGGCTGGGCAGTGCTGATAAAGGGGCATCCCAGATGAGCTAGACCTTTTATTCTTTGACTTCGGATTAATATGAGGGTACTAATGTTTAAGCTACATTGTTTTTGTTTCCAAGGTAAGGTTCAAGTTGTAGTTGAGCCCTTCACCCAGGGAACGTGCTGAACACCCTCACATTGTGCACCTTAGGTGAGACCCTGACGGCTGCTCTCCCCCTCCCCTCTCTTTCCTTTTCCCCCCCCCCCCCCCCCCCCCCCCCCCCCCCCCCCCCCCCCCCCGGCTAGACTATATTTGTGTTTTTACTTCCTGTGGGCATGTAGTTGTTTATATAGTGGTTTCATATTGCACTGAGTACATTATATACTTGATTTTTCCATTCTTGTGATACTTTACCAAAAAGAATGTGAACCTCACTCTGTCCCCTGGGTGGAGTGCCACGGCACCATCATACCTCACAGCAACCTCAAACTCTTGGGCTTGAGCAATCCTCCCTCCGCAGCTTCCCCAGTAGCTGGGGCCACAGGTGCCTGCCACTACGCCCAGCTAGTTTCTCTATTTATTTTAGTAGAGATGGGGGTTTCACTCTTGCTCAAGCTGGTCTCGAGCTCCTGAGCTCCGGCAATCAGCCCTCCTTGGCCTCCCAGAGTGTTGGGATTACAGGTAAGAGCCACCTCACCTAGGTAGAAGAATATGTTTAAACTCAATCCAGGTCAACACAAAATATGTGAAGTCTCCATCCTTTTTATGACTGAATAGTACTCCATGGTATACATATATCACCGTTTATTAAGCCATTCTTGGGTTGATGGACACTTGGGTTGCTTCCACGTCTTGATGATTAGAAACTGAGCTACAATAAATATTCTGAGCTAGACCTTTTGGAGGGGAAAAAAGTCTGATGTTCAGGAGCCCACTTGCCAGATGTGTACTTCTTTGCCTTCTCGTGTCTGTAAGGGAGGCTTTACCTATTGAAGGTGTGGACATCCACAGGTACGTGCATGGTTCTGAGGAAGATCCTCTGCATTGAGACATTAATAAAATGGCCTCATTTAATACTCACTGAGTTTTAGGCAAAATTCTAAGTGCTGTGCAGAAACTGATTCAATTAAGCTTCACAAAAACCCCATGAAATACTCTTGACTGTTATTTACATTTTAGAGATTAAAAACGGAGGCAATAATAAAAAGGTTACAAAGGCCTGGCATAAACCAGGCGCAGTGGCTCACACCTGTAATCCTAACACTCTGGAAGGCTGAAGCTGGTGGATTGCCTAAACTCAGGAGTTCGAGGCCAGCCTGAGCAAAAGTGAGACCCCTGTCTCTACTAAAAATAGAGAAACTGAGGCAAGAGGATCTCTTGAGCCCAAGAGTTTGAGGTTACTGTGAGCTATGATGCCATAGCACTCTGCCCAGTGCAAGAGCTTGAGACTTTGTCTCAAAAAAAAAAAAAAAAAAAAGGCCAGGCTTAGTAGCTCACTCCTGTAATTCCAGCACTCTGGGAGGCTGAGGTTGGTGGATCGCCTGAGCTCACAAGTTCCAGACCAACCGGAGCAAGAGCAAGAACCCATCTCTACTAAAAACAGAAAAATTAGCTGAACGTGGTAGCAGATGCCTGTAGTTCCAGCCACTCAAGAGGTTGAGGCAGGAGGATGTCTTGAGCCCAGGAGTTTGAGGTTGCTATGAGCTATGACAAGGCCACAGCACTCTAACCTAGGTGACAGAGTAAGACTCTGTCTCAAAATAAATAAATAAATAAAAGGTTAAATAACTTTCCCTGCACCAGACAGCTTAGTAGGAGGCAGAGGCAGGAACTGAACCCCCAGAGTGGCTGATGACAGAGATGACAAAGCAGAGTCAGACGAATGCCCCTTGCTATTCCCTGGCACAGTGGCCTGCAGTAAGGGGATCCCAACCTCTAATACTGATGTTCACACCTGGATGACCTTGGTCCCCACCATTCACTGCCTACCCACGGCTCACTAGCACACTTCCATGAGCAAAGATAGTGAGTTATTCAGAGAAAAAAATGTATCCAGAAAACCAATAATACTATAACCCCTCTTGAAGCAAGACCTTTTAGGACAAAAAGAGAGAAGATAAATCTCCTCTATGGGACATCTGACCTTTGCATTTTCCCTATTGTAGTACAAGTGATCATCATGAAATTTCATTTTTTAGGCAAAAATCTCTGAAGCACATTTTTTTCTTTCTTTTTTCTTTTTTGTGTATTCTGGGTAGAGTGCTGTGGTGTCATAGCTAGGGTGACCAGACATCCTGCTTTGGGCGGGACAGTCCTGATTTTTAACAATTTGTCCTGCATCCCATGGTGTTCTTAAAAAAGTCCCGATTTTTGGAAAGAATGCACCAACGGGCGGGAGAACAAGAAGGGAATATATGTTTTTCAGCTGCCATGTGGCTATTTCGCCAGGATATGAGTTTTATATTATTTTTGTTAATTTTTTAATGTTAAACTGCAATAATAACAAATAATTCTTGAGAAGTGATTATCGAGAACTGCTTATCAAAGTTTGCATTGTTGTCAGGCCCTGCCCCCCCCCACCCCGTTAATGGTGTCCCGCTTTACCAATGTTAAAATCTGGTCACCTTAGTCATAGCTCACAACAACCTCAAACTCCTGGGCTCAAGAAATCCTCCTGCCTCAGCCTCCCGAGTAGCTTGCACTACAGGTGCCACAGTGCTTGGCTAATTTTTCTATTTTTAGTAGAGATGGTGTCTCATTCTTGCTTGGGCTGATCTCAAACTCCTGAGCTCAAGGAATCCTCCTGCCTCAGCTTCCCAGAGTGCTGGGATTATAGGTATGAGGCACCCCACCTGGCCTGAAGCACATGTTTTATAAAACAGCTCCTAAATTGAATTGCTTAAGGCTCATTCTGAAATTCTAAACATATATATAGTCTGTAAGTCTCTGATACTGGTACCTCACTGCATTTTTTTTTTACAGAAACTAAACAGAACTCCAGGCAGGGTCTGGCCTGTTTTGCTCAGTTGTCCACTAAGTCATGTGGGGATGTCCTTGTGCTAAACAATTCTAACAGCTCTTCTGGAATTTATAAGCAGAAGCCTGATCCAAGTGTGTAAGGGAAGTCTGCCGAACTTCCTGTTTCATCTTGTCTGTTCTCAGACAGGAGACAGGCAGGAGGAAGCAGATACACACGCCAGGGTTTAAAAGGGGACATGCTAGGGAGAAAAGCTTCATAGTTAAAGGCTAGACCTTGGGCTTGAAGGTGTGCAGGTAACAGGCTGCACCCACCTCGAGGAGGAGGTCACAGTACTGCAGTTATACACAGAATGCCTCCTATGCAGGGCAAAGGGGGAAAGAAAAAGAATTTCAAAGGATATGAGAGCTGAGTGGTGAAAGGTGTGGGTCCAGTTTCAGTGTCCTACATGTGATTATTCAGTTCTCCCCAGAACCATTTACTGAATTGGGATTCTTTTCCCCAGTGTATGTTCTTGTTTGGTTTATCAAAGACCAGGTGGCTGTGTGCTCATGCCATACTGTTTTAATGCCTCCTGAGTAGCTGGGACTACAGATGCCACCAACACACCCAGCTAGTTCTATTTTCAATAGAAATGGAATCTCACTCTTGCTCAGGCTGGTCTCAAACTCCTGAGCTCAAGCAATCCAATGCTATTCTTTATCTTTATTTTACAATTCACATATAGATTTTCCACTTAGAACTGGAACCAGACAAGGTTGTCCTCTATCGCCACTACTATCCAACATGGTGCTAGAAGTTCTAGGCAGTACAATCAGGCAAGAGAAGGAAATAAAGACATCCAAATGGGGACAGAGGAGGTCAAATTCTTGCTCTTTGCCAATGATATGATCTTATACCTAGAGCACACCAAAGACTCAGCCACAAGACTCCTGGAAGTGATCAAAAAGTACAACAATGTCTCAGGATATAAAATCAATGTCCACAAATCAATAGCCTTTGTATATGCCAATAACAGCCAAGATGAGAAGCTAATCAAGGATGCAATTCTGTTTACAGTAATTTTTTAAAAAATGAAATACCTAGGAATATACCTAACAAAAAAGGTGAAGGACCTCTACAAAGAAAATTATGAAACCCTAAGAAAAGAAATAGCAGAAGATAATAACAACAAATGGAAGAACATACCATGCTCATGGCTAGAAGAATCAACATTGTCAAGATGGCTGTACTACTCAAAGCAATGTACAGATTTAATGCAACCCCCATTAAAATACTTTCAAGATTTGGAAAAAATAATTCTTCATTTTGTATGAAACCAGAAAAAAAACCCATATAGCCAAGGTAATTCTGAGTAATAAAAACAAAGCCAGGGGTATCACCCTACCGGACTTTAGGCTAACTACAAGGTCATAGTCATTAAAACAGTATGGCATGAGCACACAGCCACCTGGTCTTTGATAAACCAAACAAGAACATACGCTGGGGAAAAGAATCCCAATTCAGGAAATGGTTCTGGGGAGAACTGAATAATCACATGTAGGACACTGAAACTGGACCCACACCTTTCACCACTTACAAAAATTGGACAAAAGGTTGGGCGCCTGTGCTCAGTGGTTAGGGCACTGGCCACATACACCAAGGCTAGTGGGTTCAAACCTGGCCTGGGTCTGCTAAACAACAATGACAACTGCAACAAAAAAATAGCCGGGCACTGTGGTGGGCACCTGTAGTCCCAGCTACTTGGGAGACTGAGGCAAGAGAATCCTTTAAGCCCAAGAGTTTGAGGTTGCTGTGAGCTGTGACACCACAGCACTCTACCCAGGGTGACAAAGTGAGACTTTGTCTCAAAAAAAAAAAAAATAGATAAAAGATTTAAATCTAAGGCATGAAACTATAAAAATCCTCAAAGAAAGTGTGGGGAAAACACTTGAAGATATCGGCCTGGGGAAAGATTTTACGAAGAAGACTTCCATAGCAATTGCAACAACAACAGAAGGGACTTAATTAAACTGAAAAGCTTCTGTACAAATAAGAAGACAACAACCAAAGCAGACAGACAACCTACACAATGGGAAAGGATATTTGCATATTACAAATCAGACAAAGGCTTGATAACTACGATCTACAAAGAACTCAAATTAATAAACAACAAAAAAGCCAACAATCCCATCTATTACTGAGAGACATGAATAGAACCTTCTCTAGGGAAGATATATGAATGGCTAACAAACATACAAAAAAATGCTCATTTTCCCTAATCATCAGAGAAGTGTAAACCAAAACCACCCTGAGATGTCACCTAGCCCCAGTAAGATTAGCCCACATCACAAAGTCCCAAAGCTGCAGATGCTGGTGTGAATGTGGAGAGAGGGGACACTTTTACACTGCTGGTGGGACTGCAAACTCATGCAGCCTCTTTGGAAAGAAATATGGAGAAACCTCAAAGAACTCAAATTAGACCTCCCATTTGACCCTCCCATCTCACTACTAGGCATCTACCCAGAAGAAAAAAAAATCATTTTATCATAAGGACATTTGCACTAGACTGTTTACTGAAGCTCAATTTACAATTGCCAGAACGTGGAAATAACCTAAATGCCCATCGACTCAAGAATGGGTGAACAAATTGTGGTACATGCACACCATGGAATACTATTCAGCATTAAAATAGATGGTGACTTCACGTCTTTTGTAATATCCTGGATGGAACTGAAACACATTCTTCTTAGTAAAGTATCACAAGAATGAAAAAGCAAGTATCCAACGTACTCAATACTAATATTAAGCCAGTAGATGACCCAATGCATGCCCAAATAGCAGAAAAACTCCTTTCAATTCAAGCTGGGGGGAGGAATAATGAGGGATGGGGGGTTGGGATGCTGTCACTGAATGGGCACCAGATGGGGAGGGTTGGCACACCTTTTGGTGTGGGACATAACCACAAGACGAACTCTAACAAAATCAAATATTTTGACTTGGTTGCTTATACGCTCACATTAACCTGAAATAAGTTTACTTAAAATTTTTTTAAAAAGAAAAAAACCATAATTCATGTACAGAGACGTTCACTCTTGGTAATATTTGATATAACATGTAGGTTCTGTTTGTAAATACCCTTTAGAACCATGAACGGGTTACATTCTCTCCTGCAGGTCTCTTAGCTACAGCAACTCACAGCAGCGGCTAAATGCTCATTTGCTAGAACTTCAAAAAGGAGGTGGTGAGGACACGGATTTGTGGGTTTGGAGGTCAGAAGGAAGCGTGGAGCAAAAGAGAGAACTGAGAGCAATTTCTTGCGGCCCTTCTGCTTGGGAGGTTTTCTTAGGAAAAAAATATGTCCACTGTTCTAAGGAACTGGTACTTAATCATTTTCTTAAATTGTACCATTTCTTTTCTTTTCCTTTTCTTTTTTTCAGTCATCGTAGAGACTGTCAAAAATTGCCAGTGCTGACTATATTTCAAGTCATCACGGTGAAGTAGTGAGAAAAATTTTCAATTCACAGTAATTGTAACTTGGATAAGCCTCCTTGGCTATAATACTGTCACTGCACAAAGCTAATCGCACAATTTCTAATTAAAATAGAATAAATTTTCCTTAGTTATATGAAGCTACTTTAAAATGTGATTAAATTTTCAAAATAATGCTAAAGATCCTCATAAGTCATCAGGATTTGTTTAATGGTATCTGAAAGCTGACCAATCGTGGGGGCTCACGCCTGTGATCCCAGCATTCTGGGAGGCTAAGGTGGGTAGATCCCTTGAGCTCAGGAGTTCAAAACCAGCTGGAGCAAGAGTTAGACCCCCATCTCTTCTAAAAATAGAAAAACTAGCCAGGCATGGTAGTGGGTGCCTGTTGTCCTAGCTACTGGGGCGGGAGGATCATTTGAACCCAGAAGTTTGAGGTTGCTGTGAGCTATGATGCCATGGCACTCAACCCTGGGCAGCAGAGTGAGAGTCTGTCTTAAAAAAAAAAAAAACTCTGAAAGCAACGTAGCATTGTAGAATACCTCAAACATGAAGGTGTCAACCTCTTCCCGAATAGCTTCATGACTTAGCTTGTTTCCTTCCTCATCGGTCACACTTAAAAGCAAGTCAAGAAAAGCTCTTCGTTTATTTTTGGAGGGCTCTTCATTATATTCTTCATTTGTCCTCATTTCACTGGCCCGTTCCGCGATGACCTGTAGGATTTAAAGGATAGTTACATGCTTTGGTTTAGATTTTGATACAGCTTAATGTTAATAATATATTTTCCCATGAAAATATGCTAGCTTCTTTAACTTATTTTTAACCTTAACCTTAACCTTTAACTTATTTTAACCTTTCCATTTCAACAGCGCCGTAGTCTTATGTGAAAATACAGGAAAGCCGCCCATTAACATTTAGGGCATTGGTGAAACTTTTTTTTTGAGACAGTCTCACTCTGTCACCCTTGCTAGAATGCCATGGCATCATAGCTCACAGCAACCTCAAATTTCTGAGCTCAAGTGATCCTCTTGCCTCAGCTTCCCGAGTAGCTGGGACTACGGGTGCCCACCACAACATCTGGCTAATTTTTCTATTTTCAGTAGAGACGGGATCTCACTCTTGGTCTTGAACTCCTAAAGTCAAGCAATCTACTACTTTGGTCTCCCAGAATGCTAGGACTACAAGAATGAGCCACTAAGCCCAGCCTGATGAAACTTTAAAAAAAAAAAAATTTAATGCCATGAAAATTCATAATTTTTAAGTGCTATTTTTGGCAGTCTTTCCAACACGAGAATAGAATCATAGTTTCCTGAATAGTCATCTAGAGATCTGAATGAGCTAACAAGGAAAAGTTTAAATGATAAGGAGAATGTAATCATCATATAATGGGCTAATTACAGATCACTATTAACTGCATACACACTGTATTGGAGAAAAGAAACAGAAAGTTGATTAGTCCACTCCCCCTGTATGCTGTGAGTCCTCCATCTAGAATGCTCTTTCCTCAGACACCGTGTGCCTGGGTCCCTCCCTCCTTTCAGGTCTCTGCTCATTGTCACACTAAGAAAGAGAGACCATCCCTCATCACGGCCACCTTCGTCCCTAGCGATTGCTAGCTTCTCAGGCCTACTTTATGTTTTTTCCATTTCACTGCCACTTACCATTATATTATACATATATTTACTATTATATTATGCTCCTTATTATAATATTTTATTATAATTCTTGTATCTTTCTCCTCCAACTCATTCATGCAGTAGCAAATTTGTTCTTGTTCATTGATATATTTACAACCGCAGGAGTACTGCTTGGCATATTAAGAATGCCCATTAGATACTTTTCTTTTCCTTTCTTCTTTTTTCTTGAGACAGAGTCTCACTTTGTTACCACCCTGGGTAGAGTACTGTGCTATCATCATAGCTCACAGCAACCTCAAACTCTTGAGCTCAAATGATCCTCCTGCCTCAGCCTCCCAAGTAGCTGGGACTATGGGTGCTCACCATCAGGCCCATCTAGTTTTTCTATTTTTAGTAGAGACAGGGTCTCCCTCTTGCTCAGGCTGGTTTTAAACTCCTCCCACCTTGGCCTCCCAGAGTGCTGGCATTACAGGCGTGAGCCACTCCAACTGGCCTATATTGGGTTTATTTAACACAACATAAATCATGGACTTACCAAAAGTTCTGGAAATGAACAGTGGTGGTGGTTGCATGACATTGTGAATATACTTGAAGTCACCAAACTGTATGCTTAGAATGGTTTTTTTTATTATTATTGTTGGGGATTCATTGAGGGTATAAGAAACCAGGTTACACTGATTGCATTTGTTACGTATAGTCTCTCTTACAATTGCTTAAAATGGTTATAATGGGAATTTCTTTGTTATGTGTATGTTACCACAATAAAAAAAAAGTCAGGAACTTACATTGTTGGTAAAAGTATGTAGGATCTTAAGGCCCTTTTTGTGTTCCCGTCCTTCCTTAAACATAAGGTACCAAGACTCAAGCCAAAGCCAGGGCATCTTCATCCTCTGGAATATCAAATCACTCATCCTAGAAAGAGGTACAAATACACCAGTTGAAGGCAGAGCCTATGGCTCAAAGGAGTAGGGCATCAGCCCTATATGCTGGAGGTGGTGGGTTCAAACACAGCCCTGGCCAAAAACTGCAAAAAAAAGAAAAATGCACCAGCTGTTCAATGTGCATTTCTGGAGCATCTATTTGGTACCTGGCCTTGCTGAAGATAATTGTGGACATGATGATGATTTGTCTTAGAGGATATTAAGAGCTCCATGTGTGGGCTCTTACACAGCCGATGAAGTTTAAGAAGATAGCAGGTTCTTTAGAGAATGAAGAATAACTATAAAGCATCCTTACTAAATAGCCTTGTGGCCTGTGCCTCTATTTCTTCAGAGAGAGCCTCCAAGACTGCCTGGGGGCTTTTGTATCAAAGATTGAGATGAAATTTATCTCTCGATCTCTTTTTGTTTTGTTTTGTTTTTTGAGACAGAGTTTTACTCTGTCACCCTGGGTAGAGTGCTCTGGCATCATAGCTCATAGAAACCTCAAACTCTTGGGCTCAACCAATCCTCCTGCCTCGGCCTCCCAAGTGGCTGGGGCTATAGGCACCTGCCACGATGACTGGCTAGTTTTTCTACTTTTTTCTTTTGAGTAGAGACAGGGTCTCACTCTTCAGGCAGGTCTTGAACATGGGAGCTCAGGCGATCGATCCTCCTGCCTAGGCTTCCCAGAGTGCAAGGGATACAGGCATGAGCTACCAGGCCTGGAAACATCTGTCTCTGTCTAAGGCCAATCATTTGTCTGATCACTCCTTTGGAGGGACAGAAAGTAACTGGCTGCCTTCTTGTTCCAGCAAGGGCTCACTGAATACCAGCTGCCACATGGGCATCCCAAGCACCTCCCTCTCCCTTCCAGCGATAGAGCAGAAAGGCCTGGACAAAATTCCTCCTTCAGGGCCAGCTCAGGTGCCAGGACCAACTCAGAAAGGCTTTCCCTTGCCACTCACTCTGTAAAATGTATCTGTTTTCCTAAGCACTTCATCTTTCCTTTGTAAGCAAGTATCACACTTCGGAAGTCCATGTTTCTTTGTCTGATGCCTGTCTCCCAGGCTATTCTGCTTCGTGTACTCCTATAAACCAGTCAGTACCTTATACCACAACTGGACGATTATAGATGCTCATAAATATTTTTAAAATGAACTTATAGACAGAATACGTCAAACTAAATCCTGACCCTACATCTGAATACCCAAATACTGCAAGCAATTTTAAAGTAAAATCGATTGGTATTCATTAAAGAAACAGTGTCTGTACTCTGTAGAAAATATGGGAGAGTAAATGACAACACAGGGCGTCCCCAAGGTCACCAGCCAGCCAGCCAGCCATACATACATAAGGAAATGGGAAATGTAGGTGAATATACCTTTATTTTACAAAATATTCATTACAAATTTCTACAAAATATTTATAAAATAATTCTCTACATGCTGATACATAAATATAAACATATTAAAATGTAAAATAATATAAGGTATAATATGAGTTTGTTACTTTTCATATGTCTGGCACCCTTGAGGACACATACCAGACACCACAAGAAAGAGAAGCCCAGCTCATACACACACAGTGATAACCACTGCTAAGGCTGTGGTACAGTAGCTTCTAAATTTTTTTTCTATGAATAACTTTTTAATATTGTAATGGTTATCATACAAGCAAAAGCCACGTGTATCTCTTATGTATATGAGTGTGACTTGTAAGCATCATTACATACATCATAATCGAACTCATATATTACAACATAATTTTAAAAGTACTACATAATCTGAATGCGTCACAATTTACACAACTATTCCTCTGCTGCTTAAAGACATGATTAAACAATGAGGTTAACTTTTTTCTTTTGAGACAGAATCTCTCTCTATCCCCCTGGGTAGAGTGCTGTGGCATCACAGCTCACAGCTATCTCAAACTCTTGGGCTTAAGCAATCCTCCTGCCTCAGCTTCCCAAATAGTTGGGACTATAGGCACCTGCCACAATGCCCAGCTAACTTTTCTATTTTTAGTAGAGACAGGTCTTTCTCTTGCTCAGGCTGGTCTCAAACTCCTGTACTCAAGCAATCCACTTGCCTCAGCCTCCCACAGTGCTGGGATTACACTGAGTCACTGCGCCCAGCCAATGAGGTTACCTTGTAGTGTAACATTTCATATTGAAACAACAAAAAAGATATGACACAGAAATGATTAGCAAAATTTTTTAAAGCTCAAATCAATAATAATTTTAGAAACAGTTGAAAGGATTCCATTTACCTATAAACTGCACGGACATACTCGGAATCCTCATTGCTCTGAGCACCGATGTTCTTCCCCATGGCTGTTTCTACAAAACACGGTGAGAAGCGACAGGTCAGCCCAGGCACAAAGCTTGTGCTTATGTTGCAGTGCAGCTGTCAATCCTGCTCTGTTCTTACACATTTTGGAATTGCTCTTTCTTCCTTTACTCCTCCTTTCTCTTTCCACGTCTCCTACCCTCTCCCTGTTTTTCCTTCGCTGTGACTGTGTGCTTAAGCCCTCGGAGTGGCCACTGCTTCTTGGGAGGCGAAGGTCACAGTGGAACCGCCATCCTATCTAATCCCCTCATTTACCTTCCTAAAGGAATGCGATTTTCCATTTGGGCCATTTAATCTTTCCAGCATCAGTTTAGAGACAAATCAATGAGACTTACCACAGATGATGTCTAAGGCACAGAGAGTGATGTAAAAAAAGCAATTAAACGCTTCTTGGTTGACGTGGCTGTCAAGCTTACTAACTAATATATTTGCTTGTTCATTCATGACATCTAAGAAATCTTCCAGAATGGTAAAGTGGAAAGTGGGCGTCAGCATTTTTCTCCTGTAGCGCCATTTGTTTCCAGTACTAGAAATACAATACACGGTTATGAAAAAAAGAAAAGTAACGTCCAAAACAAACAAAGTGTAAATCCAGCCAAGTCAACAAAATCCCCTTGAAATAGTTTCACAGCTTAATTTACAGCTTTTCAAATGCTTTGGACAGAAGGACAGAGATGTGTGTAGATTAGTGTATGCACAAATACAGTAGATCCTCTGTAAGTTGTCCACCCAAGGGACTATAACAAACTGGTCAACAGACAGAGGTGGTCACCATACGGAACTAGGCCTCCTGTACTGATTTGGACATGTGATGCATGTCTGGTCTATGGAAATTAGGTCAACTTAAGGAGGTGGTCAGTGTAGGGAGGAGTCAAGAAGAGAAGTTCTTCTTGAGAAGAAGTCAAGTACAGAAGTTCTACTGTATATAAAATATGCACGCATAGCTAAAAATACAACTATTTTAGACACTGTTCTATAACACTGATATTTAATATTTAAAATAGTACTCCTAGGGCAGCACCCATGGCTCAGAAGGGTAGGGTGCCGGCCCCATATGCCGGAGGTGGTAGGTTCAAACCCAGCCCCGGCCAAAAAAAAAACCAACGGTACTTTTAAAATTAAAAATTTTAAGAATTCTTCTCAGGTTCTAAGCTCTGAATGTGTAAAAATGAGAACTTTTCTTTCTTGCCTACTAAGACCTTCTTCCTCACGTGATCCTGGACCTCCCCTGCGCTTGAGTTCTGCAAAGTCCCTACGAGGCTCCTGCCTTCCTCTTGCCGAGCCCTCTCTCAGAGGATGGAGTCCTGGTTCTGGTACCAGCTCGAGGACTGAGGTCACTGTGATCTCTGATCAGATTTGGAGATCTCCCTGCTCCAGACATTCCTTTGCCCTATCCCTCTGACATCAGGACATCCTAATTCTTCCTGGAACCTCAGGGAATGTCACTACTGAACACCACTGCTGGAGAGCACCGCACCCCAGGGCTCTGGTCAGGCACAGGTGCACTGTGGGCTGGACCTTTATTTCCAGACTTTCTCCTCCTTCCTGAGAGCACAGTCTCACCATGAGGGGTGGCAGGGAGCTACCTTGTGTTAATTCCTGAAATAACAAGTCACACGCAGGCGGAACCTTTTCTATAAGGTGCCTTTACAAATTTACACTGACATACCTGGTAAGAAGTCCCAGGCCCAGCCATGGTTCTAGAAACTTGTACATGGAGGATTTGTCAATTTGTTTTGAACTAGTTAAAATTACCTTAGGAAGAGAAAAAAATGTGAGAGATATACAGACATCAGAACAACTCAATTATAGGAAGACCTGGCTAGAACACAACCACTTTTTAAGGCAGCATCACGTAACCTTTATTCTCTCTGTGGTTCATTTTCATTCCTGTGCCTTGAAGAAACTCAAGAGGAGTTTTGAACGCACAACTGTCACTCAGTCCTGGGGACTAAATAGAGTTGAGGGAGAGAAAATGTCCAAGATGATTCTCAGTTCTTTCCATAAACTAGGAATGAGGGTACGGGGAGGCAGAGCTGGACGGAGGGAGGATGAGCGCATCTGGGAAGGCAGAAGTCGGGAGTTGGTTTTCAGGGATGTTGATGTTGAACTATTCAAGATGCTGTGTTCGAGAACAGGTGTGCAGCTCAGGATAAGGACTGAGCTAGACTGTCACCAGCATGTAGGTGACACTGGAAGCCGCGTGTGTGATTGGACCTCCTAGCATTAGAGTCAAGTGGAGAGGGAAGCATGGCTAGGATTGGGCCCAGACTCCATCTGCATTCACCAAACCCACTTGCACTGGGTCAACTGTGGCTGAAATCCATGGTTGGTCCCCTCCCTGTCTTCTCTGAGCTGGCATTCTGGAGTGTGGAACAAGAGAAACACCAACATTCTTGCCACAATAACAAGAAAACCATAGCCCAGAATTCTCACCTACGAAATTCGGTTTTTACTTTTGTCTCGTTGTTACCTCCTGCTCCAAATCCTTTTTTTAATCATACCAGAAGATGATTTCCCCAGTGTCACAGTTAGTAAAAGATCTACAGCCTTTTTTTTTTTTTTTAAGTCAGAATCTCACTCTGTCACCCTGGGTAGAGTGCGGTGGCATCATCATAGCTCACAGCAACCTCAAACTCCTGGGCTCAAGCGTTCCTCTTGCCTCAGCCTTCCAAACGTCTGGGACTGCAGGTGCCTGCCACAATGCTCAGCTAAGATCTACAGCCTTCGTGAGGGCTAATTTCCACAGCGTGGATTAATGATATCTACAGCATTCTCTTTTACATTTGGAATAATAAATGTATTATCAATATAAGATGGACCTTGAGCACCTCAGAGGAAACACCCATTTTATTAATCATGTATTTCCAGAGTCTTAAACCAGCGTCTGGTAGATAACAAGCTCTCACGTTGTGGAATATCCTATTTATGGTTTAAAAAAACTATATCTTTCTATAGACTTTCAAAATAGGAAAGCAAATGTTTTGGGACCTGACAGCAAATGTGCACTTATATTTGGAGAACAGTAGTCTTCTGGGATTCAGGCTGCTTCTGGAAAGCATTAAATGACACCTCTGTAGCCTAAAGTAGTTCATGAAGTGCTGCTTCCACTAACTGAAATTACTCTGTTTATTCTCATGAGGCTCTCACGCTACCAAATATACAGACAATATTATACTCATCACATACCCACCTCCACATTTTCTGCATTATAAAGGGCCAACATTGGCACTGGTCCGACCCAGAGTTTTAGCAGTGGCATATGGCGGTATTCTTCTGTGTACTGACTTAGCTGCTGAAAAAATTCTGGGAGAAAAATATTTAAATTCAATCAAGCCAAGAGTTTTGTGAACAAGAAGTATGGAGAATTCTCAAAGAACCTAAAGTTGACCTTCCATTTGATCCCACAATACCATGACTAGGTATCTATGCAGAAGAACAAAAATCATTTACCACAGAGACTTTTGCACCGGAATGTTCATTATAGCTCAATTCATAATTGCCAAGTCATGGAAGCAACCCAAGCGCCCATCAACCCATGAATGGATTAACAAGCTGTGGCATATGTACACCATGGAGTACTAGTCAGCCATAAGAAAAGGTAGAGACTTTGTTATCTTTTATGTTTATCTGGATGGAGTTCAAACATATTCTTTTTAGTAAAGTATCTCAAGAATGGAAAAACAAGTGTCCAATATACTCAATACTAATTTGAAACCAATATAAAAACAACTACATTCACAGAAAAGAAAAAAACACAAGAATAGTGTAGCAAGGAAGGAGAGTAGAGGGGGCAGGAGGGAGGACAGCTGGCGGATCTCACCTAATGTGCACAATGTGAGGGTGTTCAGCACACCCCCTGGTGAAGGGCTCTACTACAACTTAAACTTTACCTTAGACATGAAGATAATGTAACCTAAACATTTCTCCATTGCAGCAAGTGTGTGGGTGTGGATGTTTATAAACAAAAACTTAAGTCTGATTTCATAAGGGCTTTCTACAATCAGTTCTGTCCAATAGAATATGACCTTGTGCTTTCATAGTAAAAATTTGATGAGTGAAACAAAAGCTAGTGAAATGTGTTAACCACGTGCCGAACAAAAACTCTAGAGTTCTCTCTCACTATACATTGTGTAAGGGAAGAAACGCAAATCCTGTGGTAATTGATGGTGAAAACTTTTATTAAGTTCATTTGACAGTATCATTTAAAAATATTTTACACCCTCATGTTAATTTGAAATAAAAAAAAAAGAATTTTAAAAAAGAAAAGAATTTTGTGAACAGATGGTACTCGTATTATTCACAGTCTCCTTTTGATAAGCTACTAATTATATAATGTTACCATTTCAGGAATGCTGTCTGTACTAGCATTCCTGAAATGGTTACAGCCAGGACAGAACTCTCCACATCATTCCTGCACCTTTTGTGTAGGTCTAAAATTGTGTTGAAGTAATATTTGCCACAGCATATAAATACAACATGAAGCATGCTAGTGATGGTAGAATAATTACTGTTGAGTTTTGATGTATCAAAATGTGCTCTCTTTTTCTAATCATTGCCCAATATCAGAGCTAATGAGTGGTGTACCAAGATTCTAGAACATACCATTTTAACTCTCATACCATCCTGCTTTGGAATAAAATAACTGTCAAAATTGCTGGGCCAAATCACCAGTGTCAAAAAAATCCTGCTTCACACTAATATGTGTTATATTGCCCGCCTGGGTCTGGTGTGACAGAGGGGACAAGGAGGTCTGGACCTGAGGTTTGAAGGCATCAGGCCCAAGAGCCAGTTAGGACACTCCACTGTGTGGCTCTGGAAAACACCAGATTGGGATTCAGGGGCCACTTGGAAGCCAACTGCACTACTCAGAGTAAGATCGCTAAGGCTAGAATTTGGACATTAGCTATCCCTTGTATAAAAAAGACACATTATCAAGAATTAGGATGCTATCTTACTCTGATATTTCTAACTTTGTTACTTTTTTTTTTTTTTTTGAGATAGAGTGTCACTCTGTCACCTTGGGTAGCTGGGACTACAAGTGTCTGCCACAACATCCAGCTAGTTTTTCTACTTTCAGTAAAGGCAAAAATCCCACTTTGGGTCAGGCTGGTCTCAAACTCCTGAGCTCAGGTGACCCACATGCATCAGCCTCCCAGAGTGCTGGGATGACAAGGTGTGAGCCTCTGTGCCCAGGTGAACTTTGTTACAGTTAAAGAATTTATTCTATCATTCTCCAACATAAAAATAAATAAATAAATAAATAAATAACTTATTCTAAGTCATCTAGAAACTTTGCATGTATTACATTTGGTCCTTTAAATAACTGTGTAGTACAGTTACTTTTACAATTAAGTAGGGGAACCTATTAGAGGGATTTATTTATTTATTTATTTATTTTTCTTTTGAGACAAAGCCTCGAGCCATCACCCTAGATAGAGTGCCATGGAATCACAGCTCACAGCAACCTCTGATGCCTGAGCTCAAGCAAATCTCCTCCCTCTCCTTCCCAAGTAGCTGGGACCACAGGCACCCTCCACAACGCCTGGCTATGTTTTTGGTTGCAGCTGTCATTGTTGTTTGGCGGCCCAGGCTGGATTCAAACCCACCAGCTCAAGTGTATGTGGCTGGCGCCTTAGCCACTTGAGCCACAGGCGCTGAGCCTATTAGAGGGTTTTAAACAACACTGGGGATTGAGCAATGGTTTTCCGGATGCCAAAACCTAGTACTTGTTGGTGGAATAAAAAGTCCCCGTGTCAAAGACAGAATATTGTCATTCTCTTTGCTCAGAAAGTAATTCCAAGGGGAGTTACTTTAAAAAGGCCAATAAGGCTCACAGTTTGTTTTGAAATAGGTCTTACTCACCAGAGATTTTAATTCTCAGAATCCCCAAAAGAATATGATGAAACTTCTTAAGTATATCACCTTCCAAAGGTAGAGGGGTATGAAATCTATACTTCTACACAATTATTTTTAGTATCATAATACTATAGATTAGAAGAGGCCATTACCTCTGCTCTTAGTATTAACTGATATGATTTTCTATCTATCTATTGGAGCACTTGTAACATCAATTCACAATGATATTGGGGTGGTAAAAAGTTTACGTGGATATTTTTTGTTCGGCCAGAAAATAGTTTCAGTATTTTTGTAAATGCTCCCCATGAGGCCTCATCTTCTTCCTATGAAGTTGAAGTGTATTGTTTTTATTTGGGGAAACAGACAAAAATGAAATAATCCTTCAAGCTTTGGGGTTAATGCCCATCCTGTAAAATGATTATTGACAACCCCAGAAGAAACTTGAGTTCTGATCTGGGCCCACTTTAAAACATGCCATGTTGGGCAAATCTTTTCAACTCTGGCTATCTCCACTTACATACCCACAAAAATTAAGTGCTAAGATCTAATTCACCCTCCCGCAGGAACTGCAAATACCAGGTACTTTGGAGAGCTCTCAAATGTAAGGTGATTTTGTTTTTTTCTCATCAACAAAACATAAGTCTCTTTTGAAAAGATGATTTCAACGTAAAAAAGCACTCTTTCATAAAGCAGGCTTTTGAAACTTGCCAAGTAAAGGGCAACCTCCTTTAAAGGGCTAAATTATGAGGGTCAAAAAGGAAGGGAGTAGTGACCTAGGGATGTTGGGTGGGGAGTGTGAAATGCTTGTCCAATTTCTTTATAAAGTGAGGCTGGGAGAGGGCAGCACTGAGTTTTAAGAAATTTGCCAGATTTTAAGTATCTGCTGTGTGCCAAGGGAGTGTGTGTTCTTCGGTGTCACAAGCCAGGCCAGGAAAAAAGGCAGACCGGGTTTGGAGAGCTGAGCAGCTATGGGGAGAGAAAAGAAGGGAAAAGCTGGAGGACAGGAGTTTGGAAATGCTGCCTCCGTGTCTTCCGCGGATGTCCACTATGGGACGGGTACCAGGCATGTCAGCAGGTGCCAAAGGAGAAAGTGGGTGTAATTAGCAATGCAGTCTGCGGCGGGTGCAGCGGGTGACAGATTCTTGTCCCTCCTAGCAGCCAGCGCCTGGACACTGAGGTTCCCTCCAAGTGGAGGTTGGGGACCGGGGGCGGGGGCGGCAGGAGGGGTGCAGACCCCGGGTGTGGCCCAGGAGGGGCGCCTGCGAGGAGACACAGTCCCTACCTCTCCCGTCCCGCTTCATCATTAGCGCGTGACCCACCAAAGGGTAGGCGCGGGCGACCGTGGGGATGGGCCTCATCTGGTGCCACTTCCGCGCGTAGCTCGCCACCATCTGCAGGACGCTCAGGGCCAGGGTGGCGCCGGCCATGGAGACCGCGATGGCCGCGCCCCAGAGCAGCAGCTTCTGCCCCCCTAGCCACAGCCACAACCACGCCATGTCCGCGGCGGCCACTGTGCGTGGGGACCGCGGGGTCGCGGCCGGGCCTTATGAGGGGGCGGGGACAGGAGGCACCCGCCACTCCCTTCTTCCGTCCCCCCCCCGCGCCCTGGGGACAAAAGCGAAACCGGCGAAAACAGCTTCTGGGCCCCCGCTGGGATGGAGACAAGGGGACGTCACATTTACTGGCAGCTTCGAGATGGAGACAACATTAGAAGTGTCACCTCGGGCGCCCTGGGGCCACCTACGTTTGGCTTCTGGACCCCGCAGCTGGGGGTGGGGGTCGTGGGGAGCGAGGGGACAGGGGTGCGGCCGGCCGGCGGGCAGGGGATTTGGACTTGAATCGGCCTTTGGAGCTGTCACCCCGGGCTTCTTGCTCAACGTGCCACTGCTGCAGGGAGGTGCGTCGTCCTGGCTCCTGCGGCAGGGTCATTGGGAGCAACGAGCAACTTTGATCTAGGGTGGCCTTGAGGACACACCTGTCAGTTTGTGCCAGCTGGCTAATTGAGACTATAGAGTGCTCAACGAAGTGGTTATGATGCAGAGGTTGTATTTTCCCAAAATATCTTCTGAGCCGGGGAAGCCAGAGACCAGGAGACCAAGACCGGGAGTGTAGGAAAGGACCCAGGAAGGTTTCGGCGAGGATGGGGGCTGCGGAGGCGACGCGAGAGGACAGAGAGGAGGACGTGACCAGGCCTGTTCCCTGACGCCCAGTTTCTTCTCTCTTCACCAATCCTGCCTCTCGTTCCTTTTTCTACACTTGACGCTTCCTACAAAGGCTAGGAGGGGTCCTTGGGAGTGGCAGGGACCTACTTTAACCGCGAAGTAAAGTGCCTACAAAGATGAAATATCAAGAACGCCCCGATCCCTGTTTTAATTAGATGCGTTTCTAGAAGCCACTGCAGGGCCTGCTTGGATGGATGCGCAGAAAGCCACGTCTGAGTTTCTCCAGTTGATTTTTTTGGTCAGTTCTCTATATGTGCGGACATAGAGAGAGGTTTATGAAATATTAAGTGAAAACAAAACAAGGTGCAGAACAGTAGCTTCCTTTTGCTGTCTGGAAAGAAAAATACCGACCAACTCTATTAGTGGGAATTGCAAAAAGGAGCTTAACACTCTTTATTTGACTTTGTTCTGTATCACTTGAAAACTGTTTCTTCCCTCTCCTCCTTTCCCTCTCTTCCCCTCCTTTTCTTTTCTCTTTTTTTCCCCCTTCCCCTTTTTTAGAGACAGAGTCTCACTCTGGCTATAGTGCTACAGGCTACAGTGCTATGGCCTCACAGGTCACAGCAACTTCAAACTCCTGGCCATCGTCTTGCCTCAGGCTTCTGAGAAGCTGGGACTCCAGGCATGTGCCACAACACCCAGCTAGTTTTTGTATTTTTAGTAGAGAGGGGGTCTCACTCTTGCTCAGGCTGGTCTCAACCTCCTGAGCTCAACCAATCCACCTGCCTCAGCCTGCCTGAGCATTAGGATTATAGGCATGAGCCACCGTGCCCGGCCCCATCTCTGATTTTTAGATGTTAGAATACCTTTCTCCTCCACTTCTCTATACTCACTCTCTTGTTTATCTCATTCATTTTGGTTCTATTTAATTTTTCTTTTTTTGAGACAGAGTCGCCCTCGGTAGTGTGCTGTGGTATCACAGTTCACAGCAACCTCAAACTCTTGGGCTTAAGCTATTCTCTTGCCTCAGTCTCCCAAGTAGTCATTTCAGTTCTTAAATAGCATCTATATCCTCATAGCTCCCACATTTATACCCCTAGTTTGCACCTCCTCTCCAAACCCCAGATGTCCAAACACCAGCCCATTGCTACTTGGGCATCTAAGGCCATAACATGTGCCACCATGCCCCAAACTCATTCTTCTTGCGATCTTTTCAATTTGGTAAATTTCAACACTATTCTTCCAAGTCTTCAGCCAAAAATCTTTGGAGTTACTCTTGGGTTGTTTTTTTTTTTTTTTTTTTTTTTTGTAGCCACATTCCACATCTAATCTAATAGTGAATCTCATCAGCTCATATTTCAAAACATATCCAAAGTCCTGTGATTCCCATCAGTAGCTATTATTTATTTGAAACATGATCATCTCTTTCCAGATTATATGTCTCTATCCTTAAAACCCCAGTAGATTTTTATTTCAGACTTACAGTTTCCCTCAGTGCCAGAGAAAAGGATCTCAACCCCCATCACCTCACGGACCTCATCACTTATGATTCACCCCTTTGCTAAATCCATCCTGTGATCTGGCCTCTCCATTCTTTTTCAAAAGTTTCTGACACATTCTTGCTTTGGGCCTGTGTACTTCTTCTCCCCGCCCCCATGCTCCCACCCGTCTATAATTCTCCTCCCTAATACCTACATGGCTTCTTTTTCTTATCTTCTTTGAGTCTTTGCTGAAATGTTGCCTGTGCAAAGCAGAGTTCCCCAGCTGCTTTTTCCACTCTATCGCCCTCTCGTTTTGTTTCTTTACAGTATTTATTGCTAACTGCCCTTACATTTTTATTTGTTTATGGTCTGTCTCTTCTATTACAATCTAAGTTCATTTAGGGAAAAAACTTTGTCTGGTTCAGTCCAATGCTTAGGACAAAATCTTACACAAAGAGCTTGACAAATACTTAATGAAACCATAAATCCCCAGAGATCACCACGTAGGACTGTCATCTTCTGAAGTGGAGATTACGCTAGAGTATTCATAAATGAGCTCAGAACCATCATAACCATATATGGATAAATGTTTTGAAGCCACTGGGAAAATCTTGCCACGTAGTTAGAAATAAATAAACAAATACCTGTGTATCAGAAACTTCAAAGTAGCAAGATATTTGCACAAATTTTGTATAAATATTGGGAGTGTAAAAATGCTTTTCCAAATATAACAAAAGAAATTTTTTTTGAGATAGAGTCTCACTATGTTGCCCTTGGTAGAGTGCTGTGGTGTCACAGGTCATAGCAACCTCCAACTCTTTGACTTACACAATTCTTTTGCCTCAGCCTCCCAGGTAGCTAGGACTACAGGCACCGGCCACAATGCTTGGCTATTCTTTTTTTTTTGCTGCAGTTGTCATTGTTGTTTTAGCAGGCTCAGCCAGGTTGGAACCCGCCAGCCCTGGCATATGTGGCTGGTGCCCTACACTGAGCTACCAGCGCCGCTCAAGTAATGGATTCTTATATGCAAACCTCTAAAGGCAACCACAGTAAAGCTACCATGGGATACATTCAGTGGTTTTCTAAATAAAAATAATTGATTTTGGATGCCCAGCCTTAATGTTAATTTAGGCTTGCATATCAGCCCTTTCTTTCCCTTCTAAGAAATTAGATGGTTCCTGGAAATTGATATAGAATAGCTTAAATGCTTCTGAAACAACCTAGCTGGTGGTGGCTAGCTCCTTGAGCAGCAATTATGCACCAGAGAGATCCTAACCAGTGACCCTGTGAACAGGTGCACAAAATTTACCCACCTGTCCTCAAGTTTGAACACTGTTGAATGAAGATTGATGTTTTCTCTTAAAGCCACGCGTAGCTAATGTTTGAGAATAATTTAGAAAATTGTTGGGTAGGTGCAGTGGTTCACACCTGTAATCCTAGCACTCTGGGAGGCTAAGGTGGGAGGATTGCTTGACCCTAGTTCAAGACCAGCCTGAAAAAGAGATAATAGAAAAATTATCTGGAAATGATGGTGCATACCTATAATCTCTGCTACTCTGGAGGCTGAGGCAGGAGGATTGCTTAAGCCCAAGAGGGTTGCAGTGAGCTATGATGACCCCACAGTGCTCTAGCCCAATCTCAAAAACAAAAAGTCAAAATGCTTTGTTCTGTGTTGTGTGGGAAACTAAGCATTAGGACTGTTCCCCAATGAGATGGCGCTGTGGCCATCCAAAGGAGGTATGAATGTGGTAATTATTCTTATTTCCACTCTTACGCGTTCCACTCCTATATAAAATGAAGTCCACAGAGGAATTATCAGCCAGGTGTGTTGGCTCAGGCCTATAATCCCAGCACTCTAGGAGGCTGAGGCAGGTGGATCGTTTGAGCTCAGGAGTTCAAGACCAGCCTGAGCAAGAGAGAGACTTCAACTCTACTAAAGAAATAGAAGTAGCCAGGTATTGTGGTGGGCCCCTGGAGTCCCAGCCACTTGGGAGGCTGAAGCAGGAGGATTGCTTGAGCCCAGGAATTTGGGGTTGCTGTGAGCTATGATGATGCCACAGCACTCTACCTGAGTGGTGAAGTGAGATTCTATCTCCAAAAAAAAAAAAAGGAAAGAAAAAAAATTCAAATTTCAAAAAAAAAAAATAAAAAAAGAGAAATTATCAACTGGGGGCAAGGCGTTAGGGCCATGTTTGTATTATTACTCAGTGATCAGGAAAACACTAGTCTCAACACACAGACATCTGTAGGTAGGCAATAATGCTCTTTCTTGACAACCAAAATGTGTCTGAAAATAGCTTATTACACACATATATCTATGTGTGCATATATGTAACATATATATATATGTTGGTATATATAAAGTTTCATTTTGGATCAATATAAATTAAACTGATCAAATATAAAAGAAGAGATTATTCTGATTTGAGATCTGAGAATAGCAAATGAGTTGAAGGACTTACAGGAAAACAATAGAAGGAGGGACAAAAGACAAGTAAACCTAGAGCCTTGCCCGTTTGATGATTTTCTATAGTAATGTCAAGTGGTGAGACATGTTGTGACAAGCAGGGCAGGTGGACAGAGCAAAAAGAGGCCGAGTTCTCCCCGGGAAGGCGGCGTTGCACAGGTGACATCTGAGCAAAGGTGCAAAGTGTTTGCTGCTGCAAAGCCCCCCAAACAGGGGAACGCCACGTAGGACTGTCATCTGCTGAAGTGGAGCAATAAGGGTGGCATCACATGCAATATATTCAGCTCCAAAAATTGAGAAACATAGGCTGCCTGAATTTGAAAATAAAACCAGTAAAAGAAAATGGGCTTGGGAGAATTAGCCACTGACATTTCTCAGAGGTTCATGACAAAAGCACTTGAAAAAACAGTATGAGGGCCAGGTTCTGTGTAATCCTAGCACTCCGGAAGGCCAAGGCAGGAGCATCCCGTGAGATCAGGAGTTTGAGACCAGACTGAGCAAGAGCGAGACCCCCCACTTATCTCTACTAAAAATAGAAAAATTAGCTAGGCTAGCGTGGCGGGTACCTGTAGTCTCAGGTACTCGGGAGGCTGAGGAAGGAGGATCACTTGAGCCCAGGAGTCTGAGGTTGCTGCAAGCTACAATGCCATGGCACTCTACCCAGGGCAGACTCTGTCTCAAAAACCAAAAACAACAAAACATAAAAATAAAAAAGGTAGGAGAAAGTCAGCATCTTATTCAGTCTGACATATTGTCTCAAATACAACTTTGCTATTTTAAAGAATGGAGTAACATCTATTAGTGACTAGGATTTTGATGAACTTACTAACAGAATGAGACTTAAAAAAATCAATGTACAAAGATATAAATGGTGTTTTCCTATATAACCTGCTCTGATATGCTAATTAGTGTGTGCATACAGGCACACACTAATTATGTTTGTGTATAACTGATAAAATGAGGAATTATAAATACATGTTAGGGTCTTCTGAGCAAAGCTCTAATATTCTTTAGAAACTCAAAAATGCTTCCAGTAAAGAAGTGCAGAGACTTTTCATTTCATTCTCTTTATAATGCGAAGTGTTCGAGATTATTTATTTGTTTGTATTTCTCTCAGTCCAACACCTCCCACTGTCACACAAACAGGTAACTAGAATAATACTTGTCCATCCAATTTTCAAGTTATAAATGCATCAAGGCTCTGAACGCTCCACTAAGTGCTGTAGTTCTGGTGAAGTAATTTCAAGATGCCACTTGGAATCTCTTCCTTGAAGTCAAACTTGTCCGCTGAAGAGATTTAGGCAGATATTGTGAACCTGAAACATCAACCAAGAAGTAATTCTTAGTAAAACCTTAAACATTCAGGCTGAGCTTGGTGGCTCAGGCCTGTAATCCACCACCCTGGGAAGCTGAGGCACGAGGTTCCCTTCAGCTCAGGAGTTTAAGACCATTCTGAAGAAGAGGGAGACTCTGTCTCTACTAAAAATAGACAAACTAGCCAGGCATCATAGCAGGTGCCTATAGTCCCAGGTACTCAGGAGGCTGAGGCAGGAGGATCACTTAAGCCCAAACGTTTGAGGTTGCTGTGAGCTGTCATGCCATAGCATTCTACCCAGGGCAACAGAGTGAGATTCTGTGTCCATAAGAAAAAGAAAAAAAAAAAAAAACCCTTAAACATCCAACTCTCAAAAGGATTGTTTTATACATTCCATGCAGACACTTTTAAAAAATATTTTATTTTAATGTCACTTTTGCATGAGCCAGGGAACAATTATATGTAAAAATTGTCATTTGGGGTCCTGAACAAAAGGAAGAATGCCCCCTCCCCCAAAACTAAGCTTAGGTGCTGGACACGAGTTGCCTCAGAGCTACTTTGCAAGAACCTTCTGTGCAGAGGTCAGTCCTTAAGGCCCAAGAAGTGGAACAGGGTGCTTGGGAGACACTGCTGCTTCACAGAGGCAGAAGCAATGCCAGGCATTACAAGATCATTCCCTCTAAGGTTCATTCTCCTTATTTTATCTTCTACCACAGATCCAATGAAAAGCTGATAAATTAACAGCTCCCGGTGCTTTTTGACCTGGTAGCAAAGCTAGCAGGGAGGCCCCCACATGCCTGCTTGTCAGAGAAAAAGAAAATAAATCCTCAGAACTACAAAAGTGTCTGCCTGACAGGGCCTCAATTATCTCTACAGAAATATAAAAGGCCTCTGACCATCAGTGATGACAGCTGTCTCAAAGTTAATGATAAGAGAATATGCTGGCACAGAATGTGGGGACAGACTGCATGCAGATTTAAACCAAATTCAGATCCTGGTTCTCTGTCCCAGCCTCTACCTCTGCACACCCAAACTACTGATGAGACATTTCCACCTGGCATGCGCAGCCAGCGTCTCCAAAACTGAGCCCATTGAAATCCCTCAAATTCCCCCTCTCTACTCTCCTGCACGGTGACCTAGGTGATCCTTAAGGCACACATGACAAAACACTGGTTTTCAATTGCAGCCATTAGCACTGAACTTGGCCCAGAGTGAGCAGTTCTTGATACTGGTTAATAGGAAATTTGGCTGCTAAATTAAAAACAACATCAGGTAGGCTGAGCGCAGTGGCTCCCGCCTATAATTCCAGCACTCTGGGAGGCTGAGGCAGGTGGATTGCCTGAATTCAGAAGTTAGAGAACAGCCTGAGCAAGACTGGGACACCCCCCACCACCCCACCCTGTCTTTACTAAAAATAGAAAAACTAGCTGGGCAGGGTGGCAGGAGGCTGTAGTCCCAGCTACTCAGGAGGCTTAGGCAGGAAAATCACTTGAGCCCAAAAGATTGCTATGAGCTATGACACCATGGCAGTCTACCCAGGGAGACTCTGTCTCAAAACAAAAAAAAATTACCAGTAGCATGACTATTTTAGAGAAAGAACTGTTGTCATGAGAATGACAGCTAAATCTGTGTCATGCAGTGCTTACATTCTACTAAACTTATTTTGGGAATATAATATATTAAAGATTTCCTGTAAGACAATAAATTATCCTTGACATTTCAGATTATCCATAATGGAAATGGCTCATAAATTCTGAGCAATGGATGCCTGGCACCCAGCTAGGTCCTTTTCGTGGACTTCCAATATTTATTTTATCTACCCAGCCTGCTATAAAAGAAAAAAAACTAAGGCCCGGGGTGGTTGGGACAATCTAGAGTATTTGGTGACAATGCAATGCTACCTCCTTGGAAAGAAAATAATGTTGGCAACAGTTTTGAAAATTCAAACATCACTGGCCTGGATTCAAAGTAGAATTCTATTCTTCAAATAGCATCCGAGGCTAAGAATATATATTCATCTGTAAAAGTCTACGTTATAAAATAATGAGTAAATTTGTATTAATTTTCTCAAGCACTTTTATTAGTAAGTGTTCTTAGAGAATCTAAGATCAGGGTTTCATTTAGAAGTAACACATGAAAACTCCATAGCAAAGAGAGAATGTGACTTCTTCTAAGACAGCATTTTGCTGGTTTTAATTAATTTCTTTTTCTGAGAGTGAGGGCTCCAGTGAATTCAGAGCATCTGGACCTTTTCCCCTACATGATCTAACAGGAGATGAGAGCTTATCTGTGCGGGTTTGCTGTTTGCTGGACGTTTCTGAGATCAGGCCACGGACCACAAACAGTTGCTATTTCCTCCTACATAGTCGACATAGGGTTACCAAGGTAGATAATCTTCAATCTCACTTTCTGCAACTTGATATCTCATGCAGGTTATGTCATATTATTTATATGTGAAAAAAGCTGACCTGTCAAAATACTTTGACCTGTCCACGTGTGGCCAGCAAATTCTATTGGCATCAACGAACCCTTCCGAGGTGTATCTGACTGTTTAGAAGGAAAACAAGATAAGGAATGAGTTTTATTATTTCAAATATTTCTTTCTAAAAATCAAAGTCACAGGTTGACAGAGCACCTACTTGGAGCATGTGGGTTGTGCTGGGCCTCACCAGCTGCTCCACGGTCATAGTTCTTTCTCGAACAGGTGACAACTCTATGCTGTTAGGCACGGCACTCAACACGCGGCTCTGTGGGTGCCTTCCTCTGTACTGAAACAGAAGAGAATATGCTCATGTTTAAAATAAACGCAACCCTTGAAAAGACAAGATCTACATCTGCTACAATCATTCACTCCCTTATGCGAAAATTTTTATTTAGATACCGCTATGTATCAGGTTCACCTAAGGATAAAAACTACCTGTTGAAATGTATTTTAATTATGTAATAGTGTTATTGAACCTGATAAAATGGCAGTGTCCTAAGAGGCAAATATGGATGAAAAACTATCACCACATATGATTTTTTTTTGGGGGGAGATGGGCCTAGGTTTGAACCCACCACCTCCGGCATATGGGGCCGGCACCCTACCCTTTGGAGCCACAGGCACCGCCCCTGATTATTAATATTAAATCATGATCTGCGGGTGGTGCCTGTGGCTCAGCGAGTAGGGTGCTGGCCCCATATACTGAGGGTAGCGGGTTTGAACCTGGCCCCAGACAAACTGCAACAAAAAAATAGCCGGGTGTTGTGGCAGGCGCCTGGAGTCCCAGCTACTGGGGAAGCTGAGGCTAGAGAATCGTCTAAGCCCAAGAGCTGGAGGTTGCTGTGAGCTGTGATGTCACAGCACTCTACTGAGGGCAACAAAATGAGACTCTGTCTCTGGAAAAAAAAAAAAAAAAAAAAATATATATATATATATATATAAATTGTGATCTGCATAAAAATACAATTCTGGATTGGTGAAGTGTCAACTTTTTTATGTGATGTCTGCCTCCTTTTATTATTTCATTCTACGGTAAAATACTGAAGCTTTGTAACTCTTGCCTTCTTGGGGTCCAGTGTTGTGCTCAAGGTTGCACAAGGTGTTAAAGAGAAAAGCTTGTCTCGGTTTGTTTTTGTCACTCTCTGCAACTTTATGTTTTGACAATGGGGCTCTTCTGTGTTTTATAAAATAGAGATGAGTTACGTGTATCAGAGTGAAGTGAGGGGTCATTGTAAATCTGGGGGAGACCTAGCTGCATACATAGGATTTCCTTCAATTTTTTGCTACTGTAGGCTGAGTTGAGCACAGAAGATCTTGCGTCCACATCATAATTAACATGGCAAAGGTTGGTCATAAAAATAAAGCCTGATAAAAACGATTTGGATAATAATTTACTAAGCTCTTAATTTCATGCCAGGCATTATTTGACTATATGAGTTCGTTGATTCCTTATAAAAAATGTTTATAGGGGAGTCTCTCTAAGGATCAGAGACATTACAGTGACTTGTACCAAACCATAAAGATCCCAGGGTGGGCAGTGCCTGTGGCTCAAGGAGTAGGGAGGTCCCATATGCCGGAGGTGGTGGGTTCAAACCCAGCCCCGGCCAAAAACTACAAAAAAAAAAGAAGAAGAAGAAGAAGAAGAAGATCCGCGGGGCAGGACCAAAGGGCAGACCTGCCGGAACCCTCACCAGACCTAATCGCATACTTTCTCCTTCACTCCACCATCTAACCATCAGATATTTCTGACACCTGGACTTTTGGATTTAGTTCATGCCACGTTTTAATCTCCCCAAATAGTGAAGAAAAACCTTTCACCCTCTATAAATTCTCACAAGCCATTCACTTTCTGCAGGCAGATTACGGAGCCCTTTTGAAGATAGCTAATCAGATCATTCTCTTCGTGTTGCTGATTTTGCTTGGCGGTGCCAAGGTTATTTTTGCTTGTTTGCTTTCCAACAAGCTATCGAAATGGCGCATTTAAGGACAATGAAATTTGTCTTACGGAAACAGAGCGGGGTCCAGGGACTGCTGTGTTCTGCTCCCCAGGGTCTGAGCTTATTGGGGGTAACCTGTTACGTGAGGTCTGAACTGGTGGGGAAGACAGGTTCTCTGTGCCAGTTTGCCTGTAAACACAAGAGCATGTAACAGCATGTTTAATAGATTAATGCTATGAAGTCCAATTTCATTTTTTAATTTGCCAAATTGATTGTAAAGTTGCCTTGTCAGGAATAATGATAGGAGACTATTCCCACCAGATGCTAAGTTTCAAAAATTAAATTGGTTCTTGCACAAGAATAGAGAGATACAGATTCTAATTCGTTTCTTTATTACTAATAAAGTTATGAAAAATACGGCCAGGTAAGGTGGCTCATGCCTGTAATTACTTTATTACATTTCTTTATTACTAATAAAGTTATGAAAATATGGCGGCCAGGTAAGGTGGCTCATGCCTGTAATCCCAGCACCGTGGGAGGCCAAGGCTGGGGGATCCCTTGAGCTCAGGAGTTTGAAACCAGCCTGACCAAGAGTGAGATCTGCCTCTGCTAAAAATAGAAGAACTAGCCAGGCATGGTGGTGAACACCTGTAGTCCCAGCTACTTGTGATGCTGAAGCAGGAAGATCACTTGAGCCCTAGAGTTTGAGGTTGCTGTGAGGTATGATGACACTCTACCAGAGTAATGGAGTGAGATTCTGTCTTGAAAAAATAAAAAAGATACAGAGGCAGTGCCTGTGGCTCAAAGGAGTAGGACGCCGGCCCCATATGCCAGAGGTGGCAGGTTCAAACCCAGCCCTAGCCAAAAACTGCAAAACAAAGATACAGTATGATAATTTTTGACCTATAAAACTGTCCAGCTTTAAAATACACATAGTACCTAAAATGTGGAGGTCACAGGGAAAGAGATAGTCTCATGTACTGGCAGTGGGGCTATAGACTAGTGAACCATTCCGGCCGGGAAGCATTTTGGTGAAATATCTCAAGAACCTTAAAAATACCCATAATCTTTGACTTGGTAAGTTTACTTCTAGAAAAGCCCCTCCAGGAAAAAATTTTAAAACATGTTTCTTAAGATTTATATAAAATAATGCATACTGCACATTTTAAGAATTAAAATACAGGAAAAAATGGGAAAGTTTCAGTAATAGGGAAAAGCTTAATTATTACACATGATTATTTTATAGTGATTAAAAGTATGCTTTCATTGGGAGACCAAGATGGGTGGGTCCCTTGAGCTCAAGAGTTCCAGACTAGCCTGAGCAAGAGTGAGACCCCATCTCTACTAAAAATAGAAAAACTAGCTGGACATTGTGGCAGGTGCCTATAGTCCCAACTACTTGGGAAGCTGAGGCAGGAGGACTGCTTGAGCCCAGGAGTATGAGGTTACTATGAGCTGTGATACCATGGCACTCTGCCCAGGTCTACAGAGAGAGTCTCTGTCTCAAAAAAAGAAAAAAAAGTGTGCTTTCAAAAATATTTGATAATATGAAAAATAGGAATGATATAATGTTAAAAAAGCATATAAAAGAATGCAACAGTATACAATAGTAAGATAAAACTAAGGTTAGAAAAAAAGACAGTGGAGGCAGGCATGGTGGCTCACACCTGTAATCCCAGCACACCAGAGGCCAAGGCAGGAGGATCCTTTGAGCTCAGGAGTTAGAGACCAGACTGAGCAAGAGCAAGACCCTGTACACTGACAGATCTTATATCTAGCACACAACTAAGTATGCCACCAAAACAAAATTAATCTAAAAGACTCAAATTAATGAACCTATTTGAAAAGTCTACGTAAGATTTGACAGAGGTTGCTTTGTCTATGATAATGGATAAACCCAATTAGAAAGTGATGGACTGTGTCCTATGTGACTTCTCATTCATCTCAAGAGAAAGAAGACTTACAGTTTTATCCCCCTAAGAACTTCATCACTATACACGTTGGGGGTTTTTATTCTCTGTGAATCGGAAGCAAGAGAAGGCAGCCTCCTGTGTGCCAGAGTTTTCTTGGCAGAAGCCTGTGATCCTGGAGTTTCTGAGATCCGCCCCAGCTGGTGCCTGGCGCCCCCACCTGGGGGTTTCTCCTCCTGCTCCTTCCTGGGGAAAGAATCCAGGGAGTTACTCAGATGCACCGTGGCATGAGACAGGGGGTGGGGGGGCACATCTGTGTACAATTTGCTGGGTCTTGTTTAGAACCGTGCGGGCCACATGGAACACCTTCCTAAGGATGCTGAATAAATGCACAGATGTCTCTCCCCTGAAATGTGCTCAGGTGCCCTGGGGTATGGGATGAAATGGGGTCTTTATCAGCTCATGTCTCCTGGAATCTACAGCACTCTGCTGTTTTCCAGACCAGGGAAGAGGCTGGGTCATTTTTGTTATATTTGAGTCACTATGAAAGTTTTGAGGCAGATTATGTTATGGTCCATTATTTTACTTCCAAAAAACAGTCGACAGGTCCTTTCTGATTTGCCTATGCAAGTTTCTTCCTTTTTTTTTTCTTTTTGGAGATAGAGTCTCACTCTGTCCCCCTGGGTAGAGGGCCATGACATCATCATAGCTCACATCAACCTCAAACTCCTGGGCTCAAGCGATCCTCCTGCTTCAGCCTTGCAAGTAGCTGGGACTACAGGAGCCCACCATGGTGCCTGGCTAGTTTTTCTACTTTTAGTAGAGATAGGGTCTCACTCTTGCTCAGGCTGGTCTTGAACTCCTGAGCTCAAGGGATCCTCCCTTGAGCCCCAGTGCTTGGCCTCACCCAAGGAAGTTTTAACTTGCGGGCTCATCACTGTCGCTGGGACGGCTTCATTTGTTCCCATCCCTCTGCATTTTATATTTCCTGATTTTTGTGTGTCTCAAAAATGTCATCATGACCCATGTACGTACGTACTGTGTTTTATCGGTAAAACAGGTAGGTCTCTGCTGCAGCGGTTTTGCTTGAATTGTCATCACACCATTCAAATCACTATAAAAATTGTTAGAGAAGCGATGAATCTGAGAAAAGTAAAAATAAAATAAAATAAAATGAAAATGAAAAAATATCCAGTGCCATTGCAATTACTGATGTTTGTCAGGAAGCAGTAGAAACAAATGGCACTGCCCGTCCAGCTAATTTGAGGAAAAGTTAATAAAGGAACTATATTTTATAAAGATGTGGAATGAGACATTAGCAAAGAATTGCTTAATTCCCCAAAGCTAGTGGCAGTGGGGACATTCAGCACACTGGGCCCGACATGGCAAGAAGTGAGGAGAGAGCAGGGGGCGATGGCTCATGCACGTAATCCCAGCACTCTGAGAGGCTGAGGCCCGTGTATTGCCTGAGCTCAGGAGTCCAAGACCAGCCTGAGCAAGAGTGAGACCCTGTCTCTCCTAAAAATAGAAAAACTGGCCAGGTGTCTGTAGTTCCAGCTATTCAAGAGGCTGAGGCAGGAGGATCACTTGAGCCCAAGAGTTTGAGGTTGCTATTAGCTGTGTTGCCATGGCACTCTCATCAGGGTGACAGAGTGTGACTCTGTCTCAAAACAAACAAACAAAAAAGAAGTGAAGAGAGGGCAGCTGCATGTAGAGGGATGCCACTAGCCCCCTGTGGCCCTGAAGGGCAGCCAGAAGACAGCAGGGCCCGGCCTCATCCTCCCCTTTGCTCTGAGCTCCCAGAAGCTGGAGGGCCAGGGAGCTGCCTGCTCAATGTGTATCGGGCTGTGGGGTCCTCCAGGGCGCAGGAAGCAGAGAGGATGAGCAGAAGAGTAGGAAAGGCCTCAGGGCTCCTAGTTCCTTTTCCAAACTCAGGAGACAGGGTAGGTAGGGCTGGGGAGAACCGGAGTGTGAGATCCCAAAGGCTTTGATCTGAACTCCAGTTCTACCTGAGTCATTATGAAAGTTTTGAGACACATAAAAATCAAGAAACATAAGATCTATAGAAACATTATCAAACGAAGCCATCCCAGCAACCCCCATACGCTGAGCAAGTTGAAACTTTGCATGTAGGAATTAGAAAGGCCGCTGTCGGCCGTGTTTCTGAGAAGTGAAATCATGGCCCATTAACACAGTCTGTCTCAAAACTTTCATAGTGACCCATGTAACTATTTCCTGGTTGGTGACCTTGGACAGATTACTTTGCTTTTGAAGCTTTAATTTCCTCTTCTTCAAAGTACTCCCCTTGGCATCTGGTGACCGTCACAGGGAGGCATGCAGCACTTTTCCCAGGGAATTTCAGGGGGAATTCTTGAATTTAATTTTCCCACATTGGGTACTCATTGATTTTCTTATTACTTTTGGGGACAAGAGAGGAAACCCCTGATAACTTTCAAATTGGCTAAAAATGTTAGAGAAAAGCATGTCTTCCTCTCCCAAAATATAGGAAACCGATCCACCGTTCACCGCAGTGTTTGTACCACTCTGCTCCACTGGAGAAGGTGGCGATTCTGGCTCGGCACCTGTGGCTCAAGTGGCTAAAGCACCAGCCACATACACCTAAGGTGGCGGGTTCAAATTCAGCCCAGGCCCACCAAACAACAATGACGGCTGCAACCAAAAAATAGCC